GAGCAGGCAGTAGTACTGTAGCGAGCTCAGGAAAAGTGTGACCACCTACCTTGCTAGAGGCTCTGGGTTCTGTCTAGGACAAAAAAAAAAAAAAAAAAAAAAAAAGCAAAGACCCCCCTCCCTAAATACAGAGTCTTAGTCTGTAACTCAGTTGATCTGTAAATCAGTACACAGCCTGGGTAGGTTTGAACTTGACAAGATCCTCCTGCTCAGTCTCACCAGTGCTGGGAGTAAAGTGTGAGTGACCAGACCCAGTTGTGAATTAAATTCTAATCTGATTGACATCCCCATTTCTTTTTTTTCCTTTCTTTTCTTTTTTTGAGATAGGGTTTCTTTGTATCTTTGGAGGCTGTCCTGGAACTCCTCACTAGACCAGATTGGCCTGGAACTCACAGAGGTACACCTGCCTCTGCCTCCCAAGTACTGGGATTAAAGGCGTGCACCACCACTGCCTGGTTGACATCCCCCTTTCTAATCTTCATTTATTTTAGTTTCTCTGTCTTCTGTTACTTCTCTGCTTGACTTTGGCTTATTATTAGCTGGGTTTTTTTTGTTGTTGTTGTTGTTTGTTTTGTTTTGTTTTTGAGACAGGGTTTCTCTGTGTAACAACTATAGGTGTCTTGGAATTGGTGCTATAGGCCAGGCTGGCCTAGAACTCCCAGACATCCGACTGCCTCTGCCTCCCAAGTACTGGGATTAAAGACGTGTGCCACCAATGCCAGGCTTTTTTTTTTCTTTTTGGAATGGTGCACGCTTTTAATCTCAGCACTTGGGAGGCAGAGGCAGGCGGATCTCTGTGAGTTCCAGGCCAGCCTGGTCTACAAGAATTAGTACCAGGACAGCCTCCAAAGCCACTGACAAACCACCCCCCCCAAAAAAGAAAGAAACTTAAAAAAAAAAAACCAGGTGGCTATTTGAACGTCTACAGAGCGAGGTCTAGGACAGCCTCCAAAACAATACAGAGAAAAAAAAAAAGAGAGAGAGAGAGAAAAAGGAATGTGCCACCACTGTCCAGCTTTTAAAGGTTTCTTAAGGAGTAATCTTTTCTTTCTGTTTTTGTTGTTTAGTTTTGAGATGGGGTTTTCATAACTTCATTGGCTGTGACTCATGCTCCTCCTACCCTCAATTCCTGAGTGTTGAGATTTCAGACCAGCACTGCCATCATGTGTATTTTATTTTATTCTACTTTGTTATTTTTTTTTATTTTAATTTTAAATAGCTTGTTTTACATGTCAATCCCAGTTCCCTCTCCCTCCCCTCCTCCCGCACTCCCCTTCCACCCTCCCTCCCACCCTATACTTTGTTATTTTTAAAAGTAAGAATCGTGTGGGGGGGTATGAGTGCGTGAAGGCATAAAAAGCTTGTATGTGCATATGCATGTACACAAGGCAAGCATGTCATGGTGTGAATATGGAGGTCAGAGGTCAACTTTGTAGAGTTGTTCCCTTCTTTTTACCTTTATATCAGAGTTCTGGGGATTGAGTTTAGGTTACTAGGCTCATATAATCACCATACCTTTACCTGCTGAAACATAGTGCTAGTGCATTCACCTTGGTTTTTTCCTTGTTTTGTTCGAGATGGGGTTTCACTGCGTAGCTCTTACTATGTTGACCTCACTATGTAAACCAAGCTGTTCTCACAAAGATCTGCCTGCCTCGGCCTCAGTGGGAGGATTATAAGCCTGTCTTATATTAATCTTTTTCTGTTGCTTCTGGGTATTAAACTGAGGACCTCATGCTTGCACAAGAACTTTTACCAAAGGAGCTGTCTTCTCTGCCCCATGGCAATCTTTAATATTTTATTTTCATTTATATGTGTGGGTTTATTTATTTTTTGCATGTATGTGTGTGTACTGTATGTGTCTGGTACTATAGAGACCAGAAAGGGATATTGATTGGGTTTCTTGAAACTGGAGATACCGATGGTTGTGAGCTGTCATGTGGGTGTTGGAAACTAAACCTGGGTTTTCTGCAAGAGCATCCATTGGTCATAGTCTCTTGAGTCATCTCTCCAGTTCCTCTCTCCTACCCCACTTTAAACTGAAAGTGATAAGACAATGTTTAGATCTTCTATGAGCAGCAGTGGAAGGTGCTGTATTAATGAAACGGGACCAGGAGCACTCGTGGCTTTGTCTAGCTCAGAAATGACTCTCAACCAAATTCGGTGCAACATGAAAGCTCCGTTTCAGAGGCTGCAGCTCCTTTTGGCACTTTGTCTACAGTACTGGGACTTCTCAGTTGATGGTGGATCCAGTGAATGGTTATCTGGTGTGTAGTAGGAATAAATGAAAGTGTATTTGGTCTTTGTATATACTAGGAAAGATTGCATTAACATTGTTGGCAAGTATGGGCATTGAATTTCTGTACAGATATCTTTCTGGGTGTAATGCAGTAGTATTTGGCAGCATGCATAGATCAGGATGACAGGATTGGCCTTTAGATTGGATATAATAGGTCACAGCTGCTGGAATTGTTACCACCCACCTACAGGAAATGGAAAAGCCTTGTGAAAGGTGCTCTATGATGCGGACCTGCCAGTTCCCCCATGCATCTTGATTAGTGTTCTTTGTAATGAGTGAAATATATAATAAAAGCTGAATGGAGTTGGGCTGTAGTTCAGTTGGTACAGTGCCTGCCTAATATGCCTAAGACCTAGTATCACATAAATTGGGCGTGGCGACACAAGCTTGTAATCTAACTGGGAGGTAAAAGCAGAAAGTCAGAGGTGTAAGATCATCTTTGACTATATAGTGAGTTAGAGCCTAGCTGTAGCCTTTATTTGATTCTTAAAACAAACCTAAGAAAGCTTTGGTGCTGTACTGACTGAGAATGTGTCTTACTCTGTCACTTAGGCCGACTCCTAAACTGTGATCCTCAGTCATGGTTTCACAGCTCATGCCACACTTGACCACATGTTTAGGTTTTAAATGTTTTCAGGAGTTCATGCAGACTTCAGTTGGGAATGCTTATTTAGCCAGACATGGTGGTGCACAACCTTAATCCCAGCACTGGGGAAGCAGAGGCACAGGCATCTATGAGAGTTCCAAAGCCAGCCTGGTGTGCTTGTCAAAAAAAGAAAAGAAAAGAAACAAGGACAACCGATGGTAATTTAGGATCAGTGCTTCTGACAAAATCTCACCCGAGTTCACTTACCAAGACTGCATGGTGGGAGGAGAGAAACAGTCTCCACATGGGTGCCATCGGCTGCTTCTAAATACACAGACATTTCGTTGGTCAAGGTGGTTCACACCTGTAGACCTGGCATTTCAAAGACTGAGGCCTGAGAGTTATCTTGAATCTGAGGTCAGTCTAGGTTATGTAGTGACTTCCAGCCCAGGCTGGGCTATATAATAAGACTGCCCCAAAATCAACTTGACAAACAATAGCAACAAAACTTCCCTTCATGACAATACCCTGGGCCTGGAATGATGGCTCAGCATCTAAGAGTACGTGCTGTACAATCATGAGGACTGGAGTTCGGATTCCAGCACCCATGTGACGTGCTGGCACTCCCGGCCACATGGCTATCCCTAGCTCTGAGGGGTCAGAGGCTGGAGCTTTGGTGTTTTCTGGCTTCCATTAACCAAGGAGACATGGGCCCCAGGTCGGGGAGAGGCTAACTCCTCCTCTCGCCTTGTTCACACCACACCATACATGCATGCCCCAGAACAGCCAAACAGACAAGTAACTGAAGAACATTTGGAGTAATGTTAGGTTTACTAAAAGCTTGTGTAGAGAATTTACTTGTTGGCCTAATCCTGGTATTTTTCTTAAATATTTTGGTTTTTTGAGACAGGGTTTCTTTGTGTAGCTTTGGCTGTCCTGAATTTCTGTATACCACGTTGGCCTTGAACTCCTCACACAGATCCACCTGCTTCTACCTCCTTGAGTGCTGGGATTTAAGGTGTACACCACCACTGCCGGTCTCTCTTTCTCAAATTTAAGATACTCTATAGGAGCCAAGCATAGTGGTGCATATGCCTATAATCTCATGACTTTGTAGATTGAGGCTGGAGAAAGAAGAGTTCAATTCTATATGGGCTATGCAGCAAGGTATCTTGAAAGAAAATAAAGGAAAATCTAGTTAGGCTTGGTGGCACAATCCTCTAATACCAGCTACTCAGGGCCTAACATGAGTTCAAAGGCCTGCATTACAGAGTGAGTTTACAGCCAACCTAGGCTATGTATCTACTATGGATCTGGAGACAGCCCTGGCTGTCCTGGAATTCTTTAAGTAGGCCTCTGACATCTTATTCACATAGTTGTTCCTGCTTCTGCCTCTGGAGTTCTGGGTTAAAGTGGGAAAGGCATGTTCCACCAGGTCTGGCTTCAGTGTGGGCAATTGAGTAAGACTTGGTCTCAAAAACAACAACAGAGAGGGAAAATAATCTATTTATCAGAGGTACAGTGCTTGCCTAGCATGTATGTAGGAGGTCCTAGATTCAATTTCTTTTACAATAAAAAGACACAGAAGCAAAACATCAGATCATCACTACAGACCCCAAATGAACTTTTTATAGTGTGTCACTGCACAATGCTGCTAATATTTAATTGCTATAAGTAATATAGAAGAAAACCTTAAAAATTTAGAAGTCTGTTTTCTCCTTTTTTCTTTCTTTCTTTCTTTTTTTTTCTTCTTCAAGACAGGGCTTCTGTGTAACGTTGGCTGTCCTAGATAGAACCCTCTCTATAGACTAGGCTGGCCTTGAACTTAGAGATTAAAGGTACATAACACCATGCCCAGCTCAGAAGCTCTTTCCTCCCTGTCCCTCTCTCCCTCCCTCAACTCAGGGTGTCTTCAAATTCTCCTGTAGTCAAAGATGACCTTAATCCTCTTGCCTTTGCCTCTCAGGTGCTGGGATTATGAATGTGTGCTCACCACACTTGGTTAATCAGTGTTTCTCAAAGTGATACTTGGTGATGGAGAGTTCTGTTTGACTGTTGCCTTCTAATATCTTAGTATTTTAGCTGCTGAAATCCACTACTTTTTTTGCTTCCTAGGCAACAGCTGAACAGATGCGGCTCGCACAAGTGATCTTTGATAAGAATGATTCAGATTTTGAAGCTAAAGTTAAGCAGGTATGTTTCTAGGAAAGTATACTGTGTACTGGGGCTGGAGAGATGGCTCAGGGCTAAGAGCACTGGCTGCTCTTCCAGAGGACCTGCTTTCAATTCCTAGGTCTCACATGGCAGCTCACACCTGTCTGTAACTCCAGTTCCTGGAGATCTGACACCTCACAGACATTCATGCAGACAAAACAGCAATGCACATAAAATAAATATTGTTTGTTTTGTTTCTCCATTTGTAACAATAGCTCTGACTGTCCTGGGACTCACATTGTAAACCAGGTTGGCCTCTGCCTTCCCAGTGTTGGGATTTAAGGTGTGCACCACCACCACCCAGCCAAAAAATAAATTATTTAAAAGAAATATTTTCTTTATGAATGTGAGTGTTTTGCCTACAGTATATATGTGCACTGCATGCATTCTTGTTATTCAGGGAGGGCAAAGGGAGCATCAGATTTCCCAGGCTTGGAGTTATGGATGATTATGAATTGGGAACTGAGCCTGTGTTCTGCAGCAGCCTGTGCTCATAACTGCCGCGACACCTTACAGCCCCTGCACTTGAGTTTCAATAATCTTAAGGAGATCATTTTACTAGAGAGCTTTAGTTTTGAAATACTCTTACTACCTAGTCTGAATTTGTACTTGATAATGAATTTTGGGCTTGTGAAGAAATACCTAATATTGGTAACCAGATGATGAAATACAGCATGGTTATCTTGACACTAAGTAATTAGTGTGTTTGCACATGACCCTCAGCTAGACATTTATGAAAGCTCGCTGTTATTTTATTTTTTGTATACCTGTATTTGGAAAGAATAACTTTTGGGATGTGAGGACCATTTTCATTATTTATTTCTTGTTCTAGGAAAGAGATGCCTTTTCAGATACCAGTGTGATTTCAAATTTAAGTTGACAAAGTATAATTTTTTTAAAGAGTGATAATTTTATTTCAAATTCCAATAGGAAATCTTTTTGTTAACTTTAATTCCAATCCCTTCTTAGTGCTTTCCACCTTTCTAGTGTCTAGAAGTCAGACACTACCCTCTATCCCAATGTCAGAGATTTCAGTCCTAGCTGTGCTCTCGTACTAACGTCGAGAACAAATGCCCCACAGTGTGCTTTTATGCCTGTGGAGCCCTTGTGTTTACAGTTGCTGCCATCAGGTACACAGTAATTTTTTGAAGTTGTTGAAAGTAATCAGTTAAAATCCACAGAACTCACATGGTTGCGTCCTCTAGTCCTGGCTACTTGGAAGGCAGAAGCCAAAGTGAAAGAAAAGAAAAAACTGAACATAAAGCATTGGGAAACTGAAGAGTAGTTAAAGCTGGAGATCCAGTGGTCTAATGCAAAGAGCTGTGCTTATCGCTATTAGACCAAGAAGTCTGCATTCTCACTTACTTATTTACTTTTACTGTCCTGGGGATCAAGCCTCATATGTACTAGGCTAATACTACCACTAAAGTACAGCTGTAGCCCACAAGATTTGTGTTCTAGACAGGTGTTCCTATTAATTAGCTTTTGGGCCACAGGCACAAAGCTCGTGAAATGTTGAACTTAGACTGTTTGGAACTTAAGTACATTAAATTCCATTAAAACAAAATATTTACATTATATAGATTGTTCACTGAATTTAGGAATTTATGTCTGATATTTGACTGTTCTACTGAGGAATATGATTATAAAGAGAATGGGCTGAGATTTCCTTTGGCTTCAGCTTTAATGCATGCTTAAGTTTCCAGAGACAATACTATTACTATGTCTAGGAGAGTAGCTTGTGGGTATTCTAACGCAGTTTGTGAATAGTGACCATCTGCTAATGAAGTCCCAGTTAATGTTTTAGGAATCAAAACTTTGCAAGTTCTATGCTATTGACCTAAGTTTGAACATGATCTAGGAGTTCTGAGATGTTGGTCTGTGCATATGTTGCTGATTAGTAGGCTGGGGTTTGTGGTGCACACCTTTAATCCCAGCACTCGGGAGGCAGAGATAGGCTGATCACTGTGAATTTGAGGCCAGCCTTGTCTATATAGTAAATTGTTCCAGGCCAGCCATAGCTATATAATAGGATTCTATTTAAAAAAAAAAAAAGTGACTTGTCTTTGAGGAAGTTGATTTGTGGGCCAGTCTACTAGTATTAAGGAGGAACATGGGAAAGTCAACCTGCACTTAGAGCCTAGACCCACTGGAGTCTGGAAAAGGCCTTTATGTGGAAGAATAGCATGATTGTGTATTTCAGTAGAAGAATTAGCAACGTTAATATTGAATGCCACTTTTTGGTTCCCTTTAACCGTGTTCTGATACTTTGGCAGCTTATGGAAGTGACAGGGAAAAATCAGGATGAGAGCATAGTGGCCCTTCATGACTGCAATGGGGATGTGAACAAAGCCATCAATGTGCTGCTGGAGGGAGACTCAGACACAGTAAGTATCATTTCCCCCACGTTTAACCTTGTATGGACGTTGTGGTAGAGTGGTTGGGGCATGCTGTGTTTTGGAGGGGGTGTTCTGGGACATAAATCTAGGGTCATTCATATTTGAGACAAGCACTACAGGAAAGCTCCAGCAAGAGCAGTAACTTAGGTATTCTTTCAGCAAAACAGTTTCTACTACCCTGACCCGTGAACATGAACATCAGCCTAAATCACCCCGTCCTGTGGTACTAACACCACCTAAAGTGCCCTGGCCCGTGGACATTAATTAGCACTGTCTAGAGTACCCTGGTCTATGGATACTAACGTTGCCTAGAAGACCCTGCCTGTGGACACTAACAGCACCCACAGTACTTGGGCCTGTGGACACTAATACCACCTGGAGTTCCCCAGCCTGTGGGTACTAACACCAGCTGAAAACCTCTGGCTTCAGACTGCTCACAGTTTTTCATCTTCATTACCACCTCTAACCTCCCCTCACCCCTTATTGGTTTTTTACTTTAGCCCAGGCTAGAATCAACCTTGCTCTGAGGATGGCATTGAACTTCAGATCTGCCTGTATCCGCTTCCTTTGTGCTAAGGTTATAGGATCCACTACCATGCTTGATTTATGTTGGGCTGGGGAGTGTGTGTGTGTGTGTGTGTGTGTGTGTGTGTGTGTGTGTGTGTGTGTGTGTGTGTGTGTGTGTGTGTGTGTGTGTGTGTGTGTGTGCGCGCGCGCGCGCGCGCAAGTACCTGATAACCTAGGAGGTCAGAAGAAGGCATTCTATCTCCTGGAACTAGAGTTTTGGGTGTTTGTAAGCCACCATATAGGTGCTAGGAGCTGAATCCAGATTCTCTGCAAATCCTACAAGTACTCTTTTTGGGGGGGGAAGCAGGTTTCAAGGCAGGGTTTCTCTGTGGCTTTAGAGGCTATCCTGGAACTCACAAAGATCCACCTGCCTCTGTCTCCTGAGTGCTCGGATTAAAGGCGTTTGCCACCACTGTGCCCGCAAAAAAGTACTCTTCTTTTTTTGTTGTTGAGACAGGATTTCTCTGTATAGCCCTGTTTGTCCTGGAACTCCCTTTGTAGACTAGGCTGGCCTTGAACTCGGTTCTGCCTGCCTTTGCCTCTAGAGTGCTGGGTAACAATTACTCTTAAGCACCGAGCCATCTCTCCAACCCCTTCTGTCCTACTTACATCTTTAGACTAACAGAAAACCAGGATTTGCTGATAACTTTTTTAAATTAATGAATATTCCATAAGCAAGTTCTCATAAGACTTATAATACACAGAGAAAATTGTAGCAGGCAGTTATGAGCTTTTCCCCCTTGATCTCTATGTTGAAATTGGATTATATTTGGTTTGTATTTGTAAATTGAGGAAACTATTTTAGAGCAAGTTAAAACATATAATACTTCACCTAAAAGAAAGCTTATTGATGATTGCACCCAAAATGACTTTCTTGGCTAGAGAGTTGCCTTGGTGGTTAAGAAACCTGAGTTAGTGGCTTATATGTCCAGCTCCAGGGATTCAGACACCTTTTCTGAATGCACTTACACATGTACGCATGCACACATGCACAAAAGCCTGACTTTGTTTTAAAAGATTTATGTATTGTATTCGGTGTGTATAGAGGTTTCTTTGTATGTGTATATGTGCACTACTTGCTTGTCTGGTGCCTGTGAAGGCCAGAAGCGGGTGTCAGATCCTATGGGACTGAAGTTATATACTGTTGTGAGCTACTACTCTGATGCTGGGAATCATTCAGTACCCTTAGGCTGAGTCGTCTCTCCAGCCCCTATACACACATAGTTTTAAAACAGAAATATATATGGAAATATGTGTATATTTCCTTTTGTCTTTTTTGAGATTTGTTTTTTTGTATTTTGTGTGTGTGTCAGATTCCCTGGGAGATGGATTTACAGGCAGCTGTGAGCCACCCAATGTGGGTGCTGGCAATTGAGCCGTCCCTCCAAGTTTTGTCTTTTCCAGGAAAGTAGAACTAAATGGGAAAGAATTAAAATGTAGGGGTTGAAAGGTGTATGACAAATTAATGACTGTAGAACTCTTTTTGGTAGACATCATGGGAGACTGTAGGGGGGAAGAAGAAGAATTTTGTAAAAGAAAGCTCAGAAAACAAAGAAAACAGAGAGAAGAGAACTGAGAGAGAAACAAGTCGTGGACGGGGAAGCAGCGCCCGCAAAGGAAGAGGTGGCAGCAGAGGCAGAGAGTGTGAGTACGGCCTTTCTGCTTAGCGTTTCCTTCCCTCCGAGAGCCGAGGAGCAGCCCAGACAACTTCCACCAATCTGTCTGTCTGTAAAAATTTCTTGTCCTAGTCACTAACAGTGTCTGTTAGGTGCTGTGATAGGGTTTCCTGTGAGCACTGGCCTGGTCTGCAGGTACTTCATTTTTGCAGCCTTTAACCCTGACTTCTGGCCAGGCGATGGTGGTGCACGCCTTTGATCCCTGCACTCAGGAGGCAGAGGCAGGAGGATCTCTGAATTCGAGGCCAGGCTGCTCTACAAAGTTACACAGAGAAACACTGTCAATGAACAACCAAACCACCCAACCAAACAGACAAAACAAAACTGGTTTCTGTTAGACATCAAGTGAACTGGGATTGGAGTGGGTATAGGTGTTCAGTCACTGATAAATGAAGCTGGTTTTTCTTCTCCATTTATAGACACTCATGGTATAGACATAGATCAAAATAATAAGAGGTAGCGAGGTATGCCTTTAATCCTAAGCAGAGTCATATGGATCTCTGGGAGTCTGAGGTCACCCTGGTATACATCATAATTGCCAGATCAACTAGGATTATATAGTGAGATACTGTCTCCCCCCCCCCCCCAAACAGAAAAAACAAACTAAAAAAGAAAAAACTAAAGGAGATAAGTTTAATAGGTAGGGCTTTTTATTTAATTTAACCTCCATTTCTAAATAGGGTTGGTGAAATGGCTCAGTAGGTAAAGGCACCTGCCATGCCTGATGACCTGAGTTCAGTCCATGTGGGTAGGTAGAAGGAGAGAAAGGGACAACCCAAAGTTATTGTCTGAGGTCCACATGTGTGCCGTGCCTGTTTCCTGTGACTCCATATCGACACCATTTTACCTGGGACAGCCAGGAGACATTTTATAGTTAGTTTTATTCCATTGATATTTAGCAACTACTTGTTGTGTAGTGTGGACACCTATAGACACCTATCACTATGTATTGCTCTAAATTTTAGTTTTGGGTTTATGAGGATAGGGTTTCTCTGTGTAGCCCTGGCTGTCGTGGAACTCACTGTGTAGACCAGACTGGCCTTGAACTCACATAGATTTACCTGCCTCTTGTGTTGGGATTAAAGGCATGCACTACCACTGCCTTTAATTTAATTTAAAAATTTACTTTAAATTTTTAATTTAAAAAATTACCTGTAGCCGGGCGTGTTGGCGATTGCCTTTAATCTCAGCACTCGGGAGGCAGAGGCAGGAGGATCTCTGTGTGTTCAAGACCAGCCTGGTCTGTAAGAGCAAGTTCCAGGACAGCTTCCAAAACCCTGTCTCGAAAAACAGAACAAACAAATAAAAATTACTTTAATATATTTATATATATAAAATATCTAATATGTTTTTGTGAACACACATGCTATAGCACACACATGGGACTCAGGGAACAACTTCAGGTTGTCACTTTCTCCCCTGCTAACATTGTGTGCACGCGTGCGTGCATGCCTGTCTGTATCTGTGTTTGTTATCTATGTGATATTATTGATTTAAAAACTTTTTACATCCTTTAGCTTAACTAAGGAACACATTCTGTGATGTATAACATCGTTACATAATGAATGTTTGTTTTGCTCTTACTGTTTAAATATATTGTAGATGAAGGCACATCCATACAGAGAAAGTAAAATTACCATGTTATCTGTCTCTATGTAGATTGAATGTCTTGTAGCCCCATATGTACCCAGGCTTGCCTCACAGAGATCCTGTCTCTGTATCCTGAGTGCCGTCATTAAAGGCATGTTCCACCATGTCCAGCACCATGTTAATTTAATTTCATTTGTGTATCTGTGATATCTGGCATATGTTGCCATTCAGTTTTTTGTGTCATCCCTCTCCCCCCCTTTGAGACTAAGTCTCACTGTGTTGTCCAACTGGCCTTGAACTCATGATTCTACTCATGATTCTCTTTGTTTCCTCATCCCAATGATGGAGAAGTGTTTTGTCCTATGCTTCCAGTTTTGTGGTACTTTTCCTAGTTTCTAAATGTTGTTTACATTCTAACCTGCTGTTGGAGACAGGGTCTCCCTTGTAGACCAGGCTGGCCTTCAATTTGTGTGACCAGAGGAGAGTACAACCATACTTCACATTTTTACTTTTTGTTCCTTATGCATTTGGTTTTGTAAGTGCCTGATACAAAGGCACAAAGGCTTGGAAATGAATGAGAAGTTGGCATTTCTGCTTTTTCCTCTTCAGTCAAAGGTGAGGAGAATGGAGTTGATAGCAACCAAGCAGACAAGCCTTCAGAGCGAGGCAAGCGGGGCCGAGGCAGAGGTAAGGGAGAATGACCCAAAAGGAACGCTGGCCACCAGAGGAGAAGGTGGGCTGGTGCTTTACTGGGCTTTGAGATTGTGTGGTAATGCATTATGATGTTTTGATGTAGCTACTGATGCCTGTGATGGAACTGCTTAGTTTATGCCAGATTTTTTTTTTTTTTACTTTGGTTCCGTTACTTTGGTGTTGAAGATTGAGCCCAATGCCTATCTCTGACAAGAATGTACTCTACTGCTGAGCTACACCCAGACCCTGGAATCCTATTGGTTATTGCCTCATGGATTTTGAAAACTACTTTGATAGTCAGATGTGGTGGGAGTCAGGCAGGTGCGGTATGGACAGTTCTAGTATACATAGACTGACTGTCAACAAAGCAAAAATAGTTTATTCTTTATTTTGGGCTTTTGTGGGTTTTTGTTTTTGTTTTGTTTTTTTCTAAACAGTTTCTCTGTGCAGCCCTGGCTGTCCTAGAACTCCATATGTAGACGAGGCTGACATTGAACTCAGATACGCCTGCCTCTGCTGGGATTAAACCACCACTGGGCAATATTTATTTAAAATGGTTTATGTATATGGATATTTCGCCTGCATATATATCCATGTGCCATGTGTATGTAGGCCTGTGGATGCCATAAGAGGGCATTGGATGGTACTGGGGACTGATGTCCATACAGTTGGTTACGAGCTACCCAGTGGGTGCTGGGGATTGGGCTCAGATCCCCTGACCAGTGCTCCTAACCACTGGAACCTCTCTCTAGCACTTGTGATTTTCCCTTTTTTGGTTTTTCGGGACAGGGTTTCTCTGTATGAATAGTCCTGGCTGTCCTGGAACTTACTGTGTAGAGCAGGCTATCCTAGAACTTACTGGTCTGCCTGTCTCTCTGGATTAAAGTGCTAGCATTAAAGAGGTACACCACCACCTCCTAGCAACTTGTGGTTTATTTTTGTTTTTTTAAAAAGAGTCTCATACTCTAGGTTGTTTTGGAAGTCACTATGTAGCTCAAATTGGCCTGAAGCTCTTCGTGATTAAATCATTCAATAATATATACATATATAAATACTACTGTATTCCACAATTGTGTTTTCTAAAGGATTTGGACGTGGCAGAGGCAGAGGGGCAGGAAGGTTCTCTGCTCAAAGCATGGGGTAAGTCACAGCCATCCTGTTGTAGCTATTTCCTAGTTATTCTAGTTTTCTCTCCCTGTGACCTGTCTGTAATTTATTTATCACACCTGGAGTGTTGATATTGCCAGAGATTAATAGTCAGGGGCCTAACCTTTGTACTCCTGGTGGTTTTGCTTGCATAATGCTTTATGGGAGGATAGATTTCATGCATGTTGATGTGTAGCATCGACTTTTCTAGTATAACCCCTCCCCCATGAAGTTATTAAAATGTCTGCAGACAACTGCCAAATGTCCTCTAGGGATCAGGCATATGTGCATAATTATCCTGAGTTGCCTAGTTGAAAGTCAGCTAAATCCAGTCATTATACACAATATGTTCATGTAAAAATAATACTTTTATCCTGAGTGATAGTAGTAAAGGCTGACCATTCCAAGTAGGTGTTACAATTAACCGCCATTATTTCTAGGTTCTCTCTCTCTCTCTCTCTCTCTCTCTCTCTCTCTCTCTCTCTCTCTCTCTCTCTCTCTCTCTCTCTCTCTCTCTCTCTCTCTCTCTGCTCTCTTTTAAATTTACTTCATATTCTTTGTATATTGTAACATTGGATTTATTTTGTTCTTCATTAATCACCTGATCATGATGCCTTATGGATGTTCAGTTAGAATTTATTTTTTTATGTATATAGATATATATATACTATGTATTTATGAGCATATGCATGGTGTCCATATGGAATCAGGGCAACTTTTGAGGACGTCCTTTCCTTCCACCATTTGTGTCCCATAATTGAACTTAGCCTGTCTGTCTCGGCAGCTGGGCCTTTACCTGCTGAGCCATCTCACCAACCCTTCAGTTAGGATTGAAAATAGAGAGAAGCGCTAAACAAAACATAGCTATACATGAAGAAGAATGTAATTCCATTCAAAGCTAGATTGGGAGTATTTATGAAATGGTTCAGTGGTTAAGAGTACCTGCTTTTTTTGGAGGGACCTTGTGTTTGGTTCTAGTACCCAGGTGCCACATTGTGCCTCACAGCCATTTGAACCCTAGTTTCAGGGGATCTGATGCACTCTTCTGGCTTCCATGGGCAGGGAGCATGTATATGGTGCATATATATACATGTAGGTCAAACACTTCTACATTTAAAAATGTACATGGCACTAGCCTACATAGCAAGTTCTGGGACAGTCATAGTGACATCAAGAGACCTTATTTCAGAAAACTGACCACCCTCGAATAAACCTGCCAGGCTTAGAGTCTGACACAAGGGAAAAGAGCTGTATTAACTCTTGCTATTACTGCTCATTGGAGGGTTTGTTTTGTTTTTTTTTTAACTACTCTTAAGAGTTTTATTAGTAGAGAGTGGGAAAGGGAGAAGGGTACAGGCCTGTTTAGAAGAAGTATGGGGAGAGGGAGAGATTGTAAATTTTTTAAAAGATGTTTTTTGATCCTTCAGTACTTATTTGTGTACCATGTCCAGGAAGGCGCCTATGAGACCTGAAGATGTTTTCTAGGTACTGGAGTTCTGCCCATTTTGAGTTGTTATGTAGGTGCTAGGTATTGAACCTGCTGCCACATCCTGCAAGAGCAGCAAATGCTCTTAATTACTGAGCCATCTCTCTAGTCTCTACCTTGGAAAATTGTTTCCTGGTGTTCTTTCTTGGCTGGAAAAGCTTCCAGGTCTCATAACTACTTAGGATGCTGAAGACCAAACTGTAGAAACTTGAGAGCCATTTCTGTAGGAGTAGATAGAGGCTCCTGAAGTAGCCTTTTCTTTGTAGAAGATATGCATGCTTGGCTGTAGATGTAGTTGGTTGAGTGCCTCCCTAGCGTAGGCAAAGAGAGGCCTGGGTTCAGTCTCCAGCACGCCATAAAACTGGACATGCTGGTACAAACTCGTAATTCCAGGAGTGTGTTTATGAGGTATACACCAACAGAGAGTCTTTGCTAGCTAGCCAGCAACTACTCTAGGTATTTGAGACACATTGCAGCCCTGAGCCTTTCTCAGGTTGAGCTTTTAAGCATAAAAACCACACCCTGGGTTGGCATACATCAGTTAGCCAGAAGTGGAACCACAGACGCCAAAAAACAAGGAACCACAGACGCCGAAAAACAAGATTAGTACATTTAGAGTCTTCCCGGAACTGGATTTGATGGATTAGGTCTTATTCTTGTTTTGGCAGGTGTTGCCTATGTGCTGGGTTCCAAGGCTTGAATGGTACTTCTATCATGGTATCATTTGTTTTAAGGTTTGGGGACCTGTTAACAGTATCAGGAGTTCAAGGTCGTCTTCGATTACAGAGTGAGTTTATAGGTAACCTGGGATACATGAGGCAGATCCTATCTTCAAAAATGATAAAAAGGGGTGAAAGCTCATCTCTATAATCCTAGTACTTGGGAGGCAGAGGCACTCATATTTATGTGATACAAAGTGAGACCCTGTCTGAAAAACAATAAAATAAAATATTCACATCATTGGGCCCAATGGGTAAAGGTGCTTGTTGCCAAGACCTGTGTCTCTGAGACCCTTATGGTGGAATGGTGGAAGGAAAGAACCTGCTCCTGAAAGAACTTGTTCTCTGAACGTGTGCGTCTCCACACACCGAATAACACCTAAAAAATCTGGATCAGACTGGTTGTGGTGACATAAGCCTTTAATCCCAGCATCTGAGAGGCAGGCAGATTTCTGTGAGTTCAAGGTTACCCTGGTTTACTTATTCAGTTCCAGGATATCCAAGGCTACATTGCAAGACTGTCTCAAAGCAAACAAAATCTTCATTATAGGGATTGGAGAGATGGCTCAGCAGTTAAAACACTGGCTGCTTATCCAGAGGGTCCTGGGTTTGATTCCCAGCACCCACCACCTGCAGGAAGTCCTGGCCTGGTGATTTCAAGGAAATCCTCATTTTCTGGTCTCTCAGGGCACTTCAAGTATGTGGTGCACTGATAAAACACCTGTATGCATAAAGTTAAAAAATGTTTAAAGAGTCTATGTTGCAAAAGCTTAAAATGTCAACTGTCTTCAATCAAATGCTAGGAGGGAAGAGCCTTTTACAGCAGGGCCTTTCAATGTTTCTTTGGCTGTCCTGATGCTTTCTGTGTAGACTGGGCTGACTTGTAACTCACAGAGATCTGTCTGCCTGTCTCTACCTCCCCTGGGCTGAACTAAAGGTGTGTGCCACCACACCCAGCCAAATTTGAAATATTTTGTATGGAAAATTTTGTACATAATGTTTATTTTGATTTTGATGCTTGCTTTAGTTGCCTGTTTCTTTACTTCAAACCCCAGGACATTCAACCCTGCAGACTATTCAGAGTCCGCATCTACAGATAGCAATGGGACAAAGTCGGGAGTTTGGGAAGCTGCTCAGAATGGCACAGATGAGGGCACTGGTAAGTGTTTTGTTTTTCTCTGAAGTCTTTGTTTTGTTCTGTTCCTGTTTTTGAGAAATGATCTCACTTTATAGTCTGAGTTGACCTTGAACTTTGGTCCTCCTGTCTCATTCTAGAACTCTGGGATTACTAGACTTAGCCATCTATACTGTCTTCAAAGACTTTTTTAGGGAGCGAGACAGAGACAGACTGTCTGTCTGAGAGTTTGGGTGCCTGGAGAGGAGAGAAGAGGGTGTCACATTCCTCGAGTTATGATAACCACCTGACTTGTGTGCTGGGAATCCTTAATGTTCCTAGAGATGGCTTTAAAATGTTTTGTTTTATCTGAGTATGATGGGGCATGACCTGTATTTAGTTCCTGAATCCAAGTTAGGTTTATGTGCTTAAGCACTGAGCCATCTCTCCAGCCCTGCCTTTACTTTAAGGATGTGATGAAGTCCTGTTTTGTATCATAAACTGTCTTTGAACCACCAGTCTTCTTATCTCAGGCCACTCAAGTGCTAGAATCAGTTTTTAATGTTCATTGGTGTTTCTCATGCATATATGTTTGGGGAACACATGTGTCAATGCTTAGGCAGGCCAGAAGAGTCCTGCCATTGGATCCCCTGGACTGGAGTTACAGGTGCTGGTTCACTGATGTTTAGGAACTTCAGATTGTACTCAGGTCCTCCAGAAGAACAGCCACTGATCTTAACTGTAGAATCATCTTTCTGTCCCTAGGAGAAGAGTTTACTGAAAGTGCTTAGTATTCTGGGTGGTAACTATAAAAATTAAACAGAAAATTTTCTTATTTATTTATTTATTTTGAGGTAGAGTTACTACTCTGTATAACAGCCCCAGATGACCTGGAACTCACTGAGACCCACCTGCTTCTGCCTCCCAAAGGCATGTGCCACCAGCAACTGGCTACTTATTTTGGTGTTTTAAGACAGGATTTATCTGTATATCCCTGACTGTCCTGAAGTTGCTCTGTAGACCAGGCTTGCCTATAGCTTAGACCTACCTGCTTCTGCTTCTTGAGTAGCTGGATTTAAAGGCATGTGCCACCATGCTTACCTTTTTGTATTGTTTTTCTGAAATATATAAGTAAATGGTTGTTAACTATTTTTTTACCTGGAGATCATCTGCTGTCAAGTTCATGGTAGTCTAGCTGCTGAAGCTATGTTTATATATGTTATATAATTTATGCAACGAATGAATTATAACCCAAAATAAGGAGTACCCACCAGTGAGATTTTAGGCATAAAAAGCAATGCAGGATAAACACTACAGAGTAGATCACCCTTGAGGGTATTACCTTCCACTCCCTGTTTGTGTGTTTTAGTGTGGAAATGCCTGTGTCAGGTAACCAATTCCAAGTCACAGTGCAGTCCTGGGGCCTTGCGTTCCTGCTCCCAGAAGCCTTTGCATACAAGTGAACTCCTCCTCCACACCTGGCGCTTTAGCTGAGGCTGCTGTTCTCCTGGTAACATGTGGGCAGCTTCATAGACTTCCTGCAGCAGGACTTTCATGTTTCCTGCTCCAGCCTGGCTAACGTGCTGCTGGGGATTGAACCTAGGCTTTGTACGTGTGAGGCAAATAATCTACCAGCTGAGGTGTATTCCCATCCCCAACAGAGTATCAGCAAACAGAAAATGAAAGCAATTGTAATAACCTCATAAAATGTGATGGACAGTTTATCATACCTAATGTCTCAAAGTATTTAGGAAGCTGATATGGGAAGATTATGTAAATTCTAAGCCAGCCTGGACTATAGTAAGATCTTGTCTCAAAAATCAGATCAAACAAACAGAAAACATCAGTACTAAGTAATAAACCTAATGGCAACAACGGACTAGCAAACTTCTATCTAGAAAAATATTTTAAAATCGGGGAAAATTGGAGGTGGCATAATGAACTGTTTAAGAAAACTCATGTAGCCCAGGCATTGGTGGCGCAGCCTTTAATCCCAGCACTCGGGAGGCAGAGGCAGGCGGATCTATGGAGATTGAGGCAGCCTGGTCTACAGAGCCACACAGAGAAACTTAGCCTACCGGAACCATGAGTTCAGGGTTGTTTATTACAGTGAATACAGCAAAGCGACCCGAGTGGGAAGACGGCCCAGGTGAGGCTTACACACATTGACAAAGGAGACAGGAACAAATCTTATCAGCTTTGGGATAAGCTATTTATAAAAATCCCAGTAAGCTTAGTCATGGGGGGGTGTGGGTGTGGGTATGAGTGTATAGGGGTGTGGGTGTAGGTGTGGGTTCTTGTGCCCATGTGTACACCTGCAGAAACCAGAACTGGGCACCATGTGTCTTATTTTATTGCTCTCTACTTGTCAGTTTTTTCTTCCTGTGTGAATGGGTGTGAGGAGGTCTTGAGACTTTCTACCAGTAGGTTCCAGGAATGAACTCAGGACATCATGCTTAACAGCAAGCACCTTTACTCTCTTAGCCATCTTGCCGACCCCAATAGTTTAATGTGTAAATCAGGCATAGTAAGAGACTTAACAGTTAGAACTTATTCAATGAAGTAAAAACCGTAAGTATTATATGAATGTGCTTGATGTTTTGTTTCTAGAATTTTCCACTTAATATTTTTGGGCCTTGGTCTCTCCCTGAGGGTGACTGCTGTGATACATTAACTCAAGTGCTGACATTTCTCTTGTTTTCATCCATTAAAAGCTTTCCTTTTGCTCTACAGAAGGGATGGGAAAGCCTCACAGTATATCTCAGGAGCTGCCAAATAAAAGGTCTTATGGACTCAAAGGTATGATGAGCCTTTTTGTTTTTTTCCTGTTTTTTTTTGTTTGTTTGTTTGTTTGTTTTTGTTTTGTTTGTCTGATTTTTCGAGACAGGGTTTCTCTGTATTGTTTGGAGGCTGTCCTGGAACTCGAACTGTAGACCAGGCTGGCCTCGAACTCTCCCGAGTGCTAATATTAAAGGCGTGTGCCACCAACGCCTCCCCCCCTTTTTTTTTTATTTTGGGTAGATAAGAAAAGAATCCTATAACTGTATAAAATAGGTGTGGTGTAGAGTACAGGTAGTGCAGAGTTTGAGGTTAAACTCAAAAAAAGAATCCTGTGAGCCAGTCAAGTAATGGTAAAGGTAAAGTTCCCAATCCTGATGTGTTTAATCCTGGGGATCCATAATTGGAGAGAAGTGGCCCTTACAAATTGACCCCTGACCTTCACACTCATGCTGTGATACCTGTAACCCATCCTACTCTACCACAAAATAAATAAAACTAATAAAATTTTGAAAACTTAAAAGTTGTTCCGTTCCTATGCAAAGGAATGGGTTTTGGGGCTGAGTGTAGTACTGCACGCCTTTAATCTCAGCACTCTGGAGTCAGAGGCAGGTAGATCTCTGAGTTCAAGACCAGCCTGGTCTACATAGGGAGTTCCAGGACAGCCACAGCTGTGTGGTATGACCCTGTCTCAGAAGACCAAAAAGGAAAGAAAGGGATAGAAAGAAGGAGTGGGAGCGAGGGAGATTGTGTCATTTTTATAGAACAAGTATGTGTTTACTTTGTTCTTTTCTTCCCTGTGGCTCTCCCTTATGCTTCTTGCTTCTGGGCTTTCAGTTTTTGACGAGCTGGGACTGAAGCCAGAACATTATATGCTATCCAAATACTTTACCGTCAGACTAGATGTCAGCTCAGCTGAGACATATTGTTTGTCATCAAAGTTATTTGGGGAATAGGACCATAGATAGGAAATTGAATCATTTGCTGTAAAATCTGGCTATGGTAGATTCCAGCACTCAGGAGGCAGAGGCAGGCAGATCTCTGTGAGTTTGAGGTCAACTTGGTCTACAAAATAAGTTCCAGAGCTGTTACATAAAGAAACCTTGTCTCAAAAAACTGGAGGAAAGAATAGTCTGAGTTCATCTCCTTCCATAGCCAGTGTGTGGCGATTTAGCGTGTATGGCATGCTACTGCACCTGCCCTCTGGCTTTCGCATTTCTGAACACACCAGTTCATGGTGCTACATCTCTCCTGCCTACAACTATCATTGTGCAAAACAAACTCATTTTCTTACCTGCATATGCACGGCTTCTTTTATGTAATTTTAAAATTATATTCCTGCTCCTGAACCTTGAGCAGGATGACAGTTACAATAATGACATTGTATGTACCTGGTTGGAAATTGTGCAGTATAGCTAATATTTTTTAACCTTGTTCTCTATATCTGATAATCAGTAATCTACTTAAAAAAGGGACTGGTGCAGATCTAATTATATGTTCATGTGGTGCACATGCACAAACACACATGCATGTGGAGGCTGAAGTCAGATTTGGGTGTCATTTCTTTAGGAACCATACCTTTTGTGTTTTGAGACTAGATCTCTCACTTAGCTTGGGGCCTCCAATAGTCCAAGCTGGCTTGCCTGTGTGCCTCGGAGATTTTCCCGTCATCACCTCCTAAGGATCAAATATGTATCTGCCTGTTTCCATTCCCCAACTTTGGGTTGGCCATGCTCAGCTTTTACATGAGTTACTGGAAATTCAAGCTCTGTTCTCCATGCTTACACAGCCAAATACTCTTACCTCTCCCCATGACCCTTGAAGTGGGTTCTGAGAATTGATCTCAAGTTCTCCTATTTCCACAGTGAGCACTTCACTGACTGTGCTAACTCACCAGCTCCTTTTATTATTATTATTCCATTATGGGAAATTAAACCTTGTGCATGCTAGACAAGCACTCTATTAAACTGTAACCTGCCCTGATGTTCCATTTTCTTCTTCTTTTTTTTTTGTTGTTGTTTTATTGGTTTTCCTTGTTTGTTTTTTCGAGACAGGGTTTCTCTGTATTGTTTTGGAGGCTGTCCTGGAACTCACTCTGTAGACTAGGATGGCCTCGAACTCACAGAGATCCGCCTGCCTCTGCCTCCTGAGTGCTGGGATTAAAGGCTTGCGCTACCAATGCCCGGCTTTTTTTTTATTTTAAATATTTGAGATAGGGTCTTACTACATAGTCCTAGCTATGCTGCAACTGTATATGCCAGGGTGGCGGCCTAGAACTCAAAAATATCCCTCCTGACTCTCTTGGAATTGAAGGCATATACTACCATGTCTCAGTTGTAAAATAATATGTATCATAAGGAATAGAATGAATCCATTGTTGACTGTCTTAGTTTTTTAAGCATGTTTGCATTTTGTTACAGCAGAGTTGCTAAAATATCCTTAAAGTGCAGTTTGAGGCATTAATCTGATTTCAGTGTATATAGCTCTGGATATTTTATATAGAATCTATTTTTTATTAAGATGAGAATAGATCTAAGTAAATGCTAATGAGGAATGAGGAATTATTTTTTTTTCATAGTGTTGCTTGAAGTTTCTTTCCAGTCAGGTCCCTCTGCCGCTTTTCAGCTGCAAATAAGCACACAGAGGCATGTTAATTGTTAAACTGATGACTGATGGCTAGGGCTTATTGGCTTAGCTCTGTCTTAATTATTAACCCATAACTACTAATCTATGTATTTCCACATGGCCTTACCTTACCCAAGAACACCTGGCGCATCCTATCTTCCCAGTCTCTACATGGTGTCTCCCTCCGCCCTTCTCTCTCCTTCCCCTTCCTCTCGTAGCCCCACCTATACTTCCTGCCTGGCCAATCAGTGTTTTATTCATCAACCAATAAGAGAAACATACACACAGAAGAACATCCCCCACCACATTAGCAGCATGGTTGACTGTACTACTATTGTTGTTCCCTGTCAGGTGCCTGGAAAAATTCTGTGGAAGAGTGGACAACAGAAGACTGGACTGAAGATGTAAGTGTTTATTCAGACCTTTCTTCCTCTTGGTATTCCTCGGCATCTCTCAGAAAAAGCCCAGTGCCGTTTATCTTATCTTAGCTGCTGCTCCTGCTTCCCCCTCCTCGTCCCTCCTCTTTGACATCTGTCTCTTGCTTCTCAAAGAGTTGGCTTTTCAGCAAATGGTTTTCAGGTTTTGTTGTTGTTTGTTTGTTTGTTGAGACACTGTTTTATGTGGCCCTGGATATCCTGGAACTCTGTACTGGTCAAATTCATGGAGATCCTTCTGCCTTTGCCTGTCAAGTGAACTCTTAAAAATGTTGAAGCTGCTCAACCTGAGTCATAATTTAAACACTGGCTGTCTTGGAGCTCGCTCTGTAGACCAGGCTGTCCTCAAACTTAGAGAGATCCGCCTGCCTCTGCCTCCCGAGTGCTGGGATTAAAGGCTTGAGATACTGGCTTGTTTTTTAAACATTTTTTTATTTAGCGGTGGAGGAAGAACTGAGCGTTCAAGTGTTATGTCAAGGGCAAACTTGATGCCTCAGGCATACATGTGCAGGCAGATACTCAAATAAAATAAAAATGAATCTAAGGATAATAAGCCCGTAACTTTGAAATAAAGATTACTAATCAATGAAGTAGAAAAGATATCTCTCTTTAGAGAAATAAATCATCAACCTTTTCAAAGTTTCCTGCTTTTTAGCACGGTCATTGCCCGGTGGTGTGTCAAGCAGAGTACTAACTAGCGCTTGAAGGCTGGTCCCCTTTGTATTGGGTTGTTCCTGATCACAGTTGCCCTGCCTGGCGAGGGTTACTTGATGGTTTTGTATGTTTATTTCCTTCAGACACCCTCTAGGTGACAATAAGAACACTGCTGCCTGAAAAGGTTAAATATGCCTTGCTTGTAGTTGAGACCTAGAGTAAAGTCTTTCTCTTGAACTCCCATACAGCTCTCTGAAACCAAGGTTTTCACTGCTTCGTCCGTTCCAGCAGAGAACCACATCACCCCTGGGCAAAGGTAAGGGTTTGCGAGTTTTTTCTTTCAAACCATAATTGAAACTTTGTTTAGGGCAACTATTTGCATCTTTTATTCTCATCTTTCAGCTTCTCTTGTTCCTTTAATTTAGCCTTCGTTTCTCCTTCTGCAGCACTCACAGCTCTATTCACATAGTATTAGTTGTGTCTGTGATCACTGAATGGCAGTCGGCCAGAGACTGCACCAAACCTAGTTATAGTGCAGTTACTCTTCAGTAAAGTTTTGACTTTGCCCTTGGATTTGAGGTCTTACTATATATGTAGTCCAGGCTGGTCTAGATCTTCCCGCCTCTGCCTCTGGAGTTCTGGGTGTATTTCACTATTCCTGGCTAAAACAATTCATTTACAGAATAAACTTACTATGTTATATTCTTTAGTTTCTTCAGGCATTTGTTTAGATGGTCTCTAACCTAATTCAAACTTGCCATTTTAAATGTGCATGTTATTATAATAAGCTAAATCCCAGCAAAAGAAGGGCCTTTGTGGTTAAAATTCTTTGTGTGTATGAGGATGCAGAGTGGTCATGGGTTTAAACATAATTTGTATTATATAGTGAGACTGGTCAAAATGAATGTATACGTGGCTGAATTACTTCTTTTCCTCCTCATAATTTTGTCTTAGGCTTGTCTCAGCCCCTAGGCTTACAGATGTGGTTCACCACACCCTTTGATACTGGTTGTAAGAGTCTGTGTGACTGGTTCCTATAGCTTCTTCTCTGACCTTAATATATGCAAGTAAACTCATGTGTGTACACATGCTCTAAAGGTAGTAAATTTTGAAATTAAAAACATTTTAAATGCTAGAAAGATTAAATCCTAGATATGTGTGTATGTATCTTTAAGAAGTATGAGAGTCTGAATCTAGCTTCTCAAAACCAAGCTAAATGAGACAGCTTTATTATAGGAGACAAAAGGTTCATAAACCTTCATTGAGTTTATGACTAAGTGAAAAATGACTAATTTACTGTTGGTACTTTAATTTCTCAAAAAAGTAATGGAGAGAGCTGGAGAGGTGAACCAGTGGGTAAGAGCACCCAGGTTAGATTCCAGCACCTACATGGCTGGTCATAACTGTCCATGACTCCAATTCCAAGGGATCTGTTTCCTTCTGATCTCCATGGGCGCCAGGCATAAATGTCGCACACAGATAAATAATACATTAAAGTGAAATACTCATATATAAAATAAGTGACTATGAAGAAAAGATAATTGAGTTAGGCATATTAAATGCATTTAATTTTGATATTCAGGAGGGGGGGTAGAAGGATCAGGAGTTCCAAAGCAAGGCTCACATACAGAGTAAATGTGAAACTAACCTTGACTACCTGATATCTTGTGTTTCAGGTGGTAGTGCACGTACACCTTTAATTCCACCACTTAGAAAGCAGAGGCAGGTGGATCTCTGAGTTGAGGCCAGCTTGGTCTATAAGTTCCAAGACAGCCAGATCTGTTACACAGAGAAACCCTGTCTCATAAAATACACCAAACAAACAAACCCAACCAAAACCTCTTAAATAAAAAATACTCAAAGAAACAAACAAAAAGTAACTTGCTGTTTTGGGGAGGCCCTGTCTCCACAAACTTTCAACACACCTGATCAGATGGTACCAGGGACTGCAAACTCCATGCTGCCAGTGATGATTATCCTTAGCATTTGCCACTCACTCTTACTTCAGTACCGTGTGTGTTTGCCTTTGTTTGTTTGTAATGGGGCCTCACCTTGTAACCCTATGGCTGTCTTGGAACCTAGGTATACACAGGTTCCTTGAACTCAAAGGTCCAATTGCATCAGCCTCCCAGTTGCTGGGATTAAAGGTGTGGCCTCCAAGTGTGACATACTTCATTCAGTATGGGGTCTTCAGGAATATGCCAACAGTCATGAAGAATTTATGGCTCATAAATTCTTGCAGCAATAGTAAAAAGCTGCCAGTAGAATCAGACCTTTGTCCAGGAAACAATGATGTGATGGTTTCCAAGCACATATCTGATGATTCCGTGCGGAGCTCAGCTACTGAGTTTCCTGGGCTGAGGTCAGAAATCCTTTACTCATCAGTGAGCAATAACTGGAATGAAAGACTCCTTCTTACTCATTGTGTGTGTGTGCATTTTACTTTATTTTCATTTTGGGTGTAGGTGTGATGTGCCACCACACATGAGTGGGGGTCAGGAGAGTTTATGAGCCTTGCCTGTCTCCTTCCACCATGTGGGTCCCTGCAGGTAGACAGTTTGTCAGCCTTTGGTGACAGGTGTCTTTACTTACTCTCTAAGCTGTCTCACTGGTCAAAACCTGAACTTTTTTGTAGTTCTTTTATTTATTTGTGAGACAGGTTCTCTCTCTACATAGCTCTTGACTGTACCAAAAGTAATTGTAGATCAGAGAGCTGCCTGCCTCTGCCTCGTGAATGCTAGGATAAAAGATGTGTATCACCACAGCGGGCTTAGTGCTTTTCCAAAAGACCCTGCAGTGCTGTTTCTCACTTGAATCTTACCTTTGGAATAGAACTCTCTTTGATTCTAGTAGTGTTGCAAGTTTTATTAGCACTGTATGTAATACACATAACTATTTGTATCACTGGAATTGGAATATCACACCTTAGAACACTAACTTAGGCTTTAGACTATTAGCCTCAAAATTGAAATTGGTTTCAGGATAGTAAAAATGTTTCTGTATAAGGAAAGGAACTTGGGCTAGGATATTGCTCTGTAACAGGAACAAAGCCTGAATAATTTAACTACTCAGAGCCCGTCTCACTGGTGTGATGAGAGTTTCAGTTAGAGTGTTGGGAGCACTTTGTAAGGACTCACGGAGTACCATCCTGGCAAACTCTTCTGCAGCTCCTACTCTACTGGGTAAGTCATTCATGTTGTAGGAAGCATTTTTCCCAAACTTCATTCTTCTTGAGGCCATGCTCTTTTTGGTTTTTCGAGACAGGGTTTCTCTGTGGCTTTGGAGGCTGTCCTGGAACTCGCTCTGTAGGCCAGGCTGGCCTCGAACTGACAGAGATCCGCCTGCCTCTGCCTCCCGAGTGCTGGGATTAAAGGCGTGCGCCACCAACGCCCGGCCCGAGGCCATGCTCTTAAATTGAACTATTTGGTGACTTTTGGGGAGGGTGTGGGGACATTATAAGATAATCTTGTGTGGTGTTGCATGCCTTTACAGGCAGATCTCTGAGTTTGAGGCCAACATATTCTACAGAACTAGTTCTAGGCTAGTCAGGACTATACAAAGAAATCCTTTCTTGAAAGGCTTTATTAGTTTGTTACTCCTTTATTCTTACATATTTTAGAGAGAAAGTTATACATGGCTATATATGTTATGGGATAGAATACAGAATTTATATGGCTATTTAAATGTAAGACATGAGCTTCTATGGTCGGGACATGACGTTTTAAGAATATTGATTCACTCTGTTTCAAGAACACTGAAGCTGGGGGTGGTGCCACATGCTTTTAATCCTAGCACTGAGGAGGCAGAGGCAGGGGGAACTCTTGAGTTAGAGGCCAGCCTGATGTATATAGTGACACCCTGTCTGAAAGCAAACAAAAATCAAAGAGTTGAAAAGAGAATTGAAGAAACCTGAAGTCAAGTAATGGCATCTGTAAGACACGCCGCTCCTCTCATGCTATCCTCGGATCCCTGAGCGCCCATTTCTCAGTAGGTTCACTCTGGCTTTGTAACCTGTTTGGTGACTACTCGGCTTCTTTTACTCTTTCTGAAACTCCGTTTCCTCGTGGTTTTGCTTATTCAATCTCTGGCTTAGGTTTCCTTTATATTGATTTGCTCTTCAGTTTGCTAGCTGGTGCAACTTGCTCATGACAGCTGATTGCTCGTTTGTGTCTCGTCTGCTTAGCATTGATCTGGTGGCCTTGCTCCAGAAGCCTGTCCCTCCCACTCAAGCCGCAGAAGCCAACTCCTTTGAAGCATCCCAGCAGCAGGGCTTTGGCCAAGCCCTTGTCTTCACAAATTCTCAACATAGCCATCAGACGGCACAAGGGACTGGCGGCTCCACTTCTGCCAACGCTTACTCTCCTCAGAGACTGGTAACTCACTTTTGTTTCAAGTTGGGGTCTTCAGGAATGCACCCATTAGCAACAGTCGTGAAGAATTTAGGGCTCTTGCCTTGAAGTTATTTCTCACAAGTAGTAAAGCTGGCAGTAGATCCTTGTCCAGGAAACAATGATGTGATGATTTCCAAGCACATATCTGATGATTCCGTGCAGAGCTCAGCTACTGAGTTTCCTGGGTCAAGATCAGAACTCCTTTATGAGTCCTTGTCAATGAGTGATAACTGGGATAAAGGTATCCGTAGTAATGATTTTTTAAATTTCCTATTTATTGTGGGTGTGCTCCCAGGTATGCCCGTGTGCACACCATGACCCACTTGAAGAAGTCGGAGACAACATGGAGTCAGTTCCACTCTGATTAGTTTCCCCTGGATTTTGTTTTAAAGCCTTTTTTCTGTATTGAATATGTTTTAAAAATTGGATAAAATGCAGATGTTTGTCTTGTCTGTCCAGGGGTTCCTGCTGTGTGCTTCCCTTCTATCCCCTAAAATATACTCCTTTCTCTTAAATTGCCAGAGTCCCTTACTCAGTATGTTTCCCTTGAAATGATGTCACCACTGTTAGACAGGCACAGTGACTGTCACTTCTCAGTGCTTCAGTGAGTTCCCATAGGAAGCATTGAGGGTTGGTAGTGAACGACACTGGCAGGTGGGCTACAAGCTGGAGTGTCGCCAGGGAAGGAAAGCAGGTACAGGGGACAGCTAGAGTCTGTTGTAATGCGAAGTAAATACAAAGACCGTCAGGGTGCTTTCCCCGCTTTTCCATTTGCTGCTGACATGGTATTTCTGACATCTAAAGTGTCTGGTCACAGAGGTCACAGGTAAAGCTGGACCTCACTGTATTGAGAGCAAGTTAGTACTATACTGTGTTGTAGCTCTAAACATTGCTGCTATTTATAATCACTGGTGAAATTAAATAACAACAATAATAATCTAGTAAGCATGTGTTAACATAAGACAGAATGAGTCAAATCTGTGGTTAGGACTTGGACTCTGTACACGTGTACATTAATATATGCTCATTTGTTTCTCGCTGGTTCAGGGAAGCAGATGGAACTGAGACTGTAGTGCGTGTTACAGAGAGCAAAGCAGTGGCTGCAGAGGAAAAGTGTTTGGTAATAGGAGCTGGTGGATAGATGGTGGATGCTGTGTCAGTGAAACTAGCGCTTGAGTAGACTTGAGCCAGATGGGTTTGAGTGGGGCCTTGATGGCGAAATAACCATTTGCACAGATGCACTTAGAGGCAGGACTGTGATTGATGGGCCTCAGCTGCCCACGACCTAGTGTGTTTTGCTATTCCACACCTTAGAATATTGATAATAGCCAGGCATAAAGGCACACACCTTTAATCCCAGCACCAGGGAGGCAGAGGCAGGTGGCTCTCATGAGTTTGAGGCCAGCCTGGTCTACAGAGAGAATTCCAGGACAACCACAGCTACACAGAGAAACCATGTCTCAAAAACAAACAAAGAGTATTGATAATAAAAGTAACAATTTACCCCTCTTTTATTTAACTTCTGTAAGATGCACACACTCTCTGGAGGAGGGGATCATTGTTTTTGGGTTTTTTGTTTTTGCTTTTACTTTCTTAAGGAGAATGATTGGTGCTCTTAGTCACCTGAACAACCCGAGCACAGTACTGTTGGCATTTACTCTGCCTCCTGTGTGTCTCGGTGTCTGGTTTTAACTATGAGCTTTTAACGTTCACTTCACGTTAATGTTGCAGGGAGCACTCAGCATTGACCTCTGCTGTTCCTGTCATTAGAGATTACTGTTTGCAGTTTAGGTCTATCAAGCATATTTTTGTCATTAGTTGTTTGTTGAAGGTCCAGCAGATAAAAGCAGTTACTGCTCTTGCAGAGGATCCAAGTTTGATTCTCAGTACTAATGAATTAAAAATAATAAATTAGTACCATTAAATAAAATAGTTTAAAATTTTTTCAAGATTGTAGTAAATGCTTTTGTTCTCTTAACCTCACATCAGAACCAGGGAGGAATGCTGCTTTATTTAGTTGATAAGGCATAGCCACATTTTCATGTACTGTTTTCGAAAGCAAGGTTTGCATGTTCAGATGATCCAAAGCGCAGTGTCCTTACTTCTGAAGACCGCGGTGTTTGCAAGCCTGGAGGGGAAGAAAGCTCAGAGCATGCGCTCTTTCCATGTCTTTACAGTCATCCGTCCTGGGCTCGGGATTTGGAGAACTGGCCCCATCAAAGATGGTGAATATCTCCAGCTCCCAGATTTTGGACAAGTTGAAAGCACCAAGTTTGAGTGCATTTGCTGCCACTTCAACTGCACAGCAGAACAGTACAAGTTCCCCAGCCACTACTGCTTCCTGGGACCTCAAGCCCTCAGCATCCCAGTCCTCGGTCCTCAATCATTTTGGTAAGTGTATGTTTTCTGAGCTGGTTTATTGTATTGAGGCAGTTAGCAGTTCATGTTGTATATGAACAGTATGAAGGAACAACCAAGTTAGTTGTCTTATTAAGTGCCTCCATTTGTTTATTGTACAATCCACAGGGTTAGGGTTAGGATTCCTAGCTAGAAGAGAAGAGCAAAAGTGCTGTATGGCGATTGATGCTTGGAATGCCAACACACAGGAGGTGGGGCATAAGCTTGAGACCAACCTAGTATAGAGTAAGAATCTTGCAAAAAAACAAAAAAAAAACAAGCACCAGCCTCTCTGGGCTGGCTTGTTACATGCCTTTGATCTCCATCAGTTTGTTGAGCCCAGCTGCTCTGCATTCCAGGACTATACCCGACAACAAATGCCGGAAAAAAAAAAAGCTGGAAATTAAGCAATTGGTGTAGGCATTTCAGACGGATCGGGTTGGGACAAGTATTCTGGAGCTCGGGAGCCAAGGACTACCACAGGTTCTGGTTGCAGGGCCAAAGTGTGTTTCTTTGGCTCTGCTCAGGGTGTGTTTCTTTGGCTGGTCCCTTTCCCCTACATTTGGGACTAGAGAAATTAATTAGGGAGTGCTGGGATTAAAGGCGTGCTCCACCATCGCCTGGCAGTTGGTATTTCATTTATGATTTCTATTCAGTAAAATTAGAAAACTAATTGGGTGGAGCTGGACAGTGGTGGTGCACGTCTTTAATCCCAGCACTCGGGAGGCAGAGGCAGGTGGATCTCTGTGAGTTCGAGACCAGCCTGGTCTACAGAGTGAGTTCCAGGACAGTGAAGGCTACACAGAGAAACCAAGTTTCACCACCAAAAACAAATTGCAATTGGCATGTTCCAATAGTTGATTTTTGTTGTAGTGAGAAAAGAGTTGTGTGTTCGTTCATTACCCTTTTGTTTTTCATAGCCCATCCATATGAGTATGAAAAAATAGACTATATGCTGAGTTTAATGCCCTAAAGGTAGAGTAGATGCTATGTGCACATTAAAATTGAGCAGGGTTGGGAAAGGAAATGAAGTTACATAATTATGTTTGTGTGGTTTTCATAGTCAAGAACCCAGGTACAAAGGTGCTTCTCTAGAGCAAAAATGCAGTGGAGTGCAATGTGTTTGTCACACACATTCTTTACAGCTTTATAGTATTACTCATGATATATAGTAATCAAAATAGTTTTTTAGAGGTATGTGTCAAATTGACTGGGGACATGGCTCAGTGTGTAAAGTACCTGCTGTGTGAGGAGGAACATGTCTGTGGCTCTCCACCATGTCAGCGTCGTGTGCAGTGGCACACATCTGGGACCCTAGCACTGAGGAGGCAGTCAGGTTAATAATCCCTGGAGCTCACTGCCTCGATGAATGGTGATTCCTCCAGGTTCAGTGAGAGAGCAAAAGAAGGCAGAGAGTCACTCACTCTTGATGAAAAATAAGGAACAAACCATTCAGGCACCTTTCCAGTTACCAAGTGTGCATTTGTTTTCCTGTCCTCCCGATGCCACACTCTTCACTCTTTTCCAGTAGATGGTTCAAAACCTGGTAGTAATGGAAGCCTCCTGAAAGTAAAGGGACAGAAGTCCAGGTGTGTTGCAGAATTACTCATTGCCGCTTATCTTTTCTTTCCACATCTCATAGACTTCAAATCTCAGCCCGAGCCATCCCCAGTTCTTAGCCAGTTGAGCCAGCGACAGCAACACCAGACCCCGGCAGTCAGTGTTCCTCCTCCTGGTTTGGAGTCCTTTGCTTCCCAGGCAAAACACCGAGAATCAACACCTGGAGATGGCTCGTCTTCTGTCAACAGACTTTTGCAGCTTCCCAACATGGCTGTTGAAAATATCGTATCTGCCCACCAACCACAGCCCAAACACATCAAACTCCCTAAGCGCCGGATACCTCCAGCTTCTAAGGTCAGCAGCGTTCCATCATGAACTTTGTCCCAAAGGGTTTATTTCACACTAGCTCAAGTATTGGAAAACTGAGTATTAGACATTGGGATACAGTGTCTTCAAGCATAGCTCATCATCGCTTGGGAGGATTTGGCCATTTCTCAGGCACTAGGCTAATTATTAGAGAGAGAGTGCATTCATACTGGGAGACAGAGCCTCTTAGTTCAAGTACAGACCTGAGGGTCTAATTGAAAGCACTTTTGTTATAGTGTTGGCATCTCATGGTGGGGAGGTGTGTGACTACCTGACCAGATAATGCCTTTTTTCATGCTGTGTCCCTGAAAATAGCTGAATGTCCTCATCTACCAACTCCCCTGCTATATCCCCCCACAACTCTAAAGCCACTTAATTTATAGTATTAACGTGGACCATTCCCCTGCAAACCAATAAGTTGGCTCGATTTCCCTCACTTTTTGAAAGGTTCTGTTTTTCCTGTTTTTCCCGCTGTTTGTGCCATTGCAGCCCACGGAAGCTACTTGATCCAGTCTGTTGTAAGCCCTGAGGCCTGGAGCCATGGCCTCTCTTCCTGATGCTTTGCTCTTCTAGGTTCCTGCTTCAGCAGTGGAAATGCCTGGCTCTGCAGATGTCACAGGGTTGAATGTTCAGTTTGGGGCCCTGGAATTTGGGACAGAGCCATCTCTCTCTGATTTTGGATCAGCAGCTTCAGCCAGTGAAAAAAACAATCAGATGCCTGTCAGCTTGTACCCGAAGACTTTAAGGTACAGACCTCACATTTTAGTTTGACAGGACGTTGTCCCCTCTTTGCAAAGTAAAACAAAACAGAGTCTAAGAAATTGGTGAAGACAACCTATTAATGGTTTTGTGCAGCTCTCGCCGTGTTGAGTTTCACAGATTCTGCTGTAACATGCACTCATTTCTCTTGCCCCTTCCCTCTGATAAAGTGTATATCAGAACTTGTATGATCTACATGTGTCATGTAAGTTGAATCCTGCAAAATGTGGCTTTTGTGTCTCTTCACTTTCATTTAAAAGTTTTCAGAGGCTATCCATCATGGCTTCTATTGCCAACCATTTCATTGAGCAAATGTGCCCCATTCGTAGTTAGTTGGTAGACTTCTAGGCTCTTTTCTCTCTTTACTCTGGTGAATGGCGCTGTTGTATCACAACGCTCCTTGTAGCAGAACAGCGGCATCATGTGATAAGCACCTGGCTGTGGCCAGCCTTGCAGGGTAACAGCAGCAGCACTTCATTCCCCAGGAGTCTACTGGGGCCCAGCTTGTGCACCGCTTTCCAACACCTCAGAGGAATATTTTGCTAATAGAAAGATTTGAGTTTTTTATTGTAGATTTTTCCATATCTAGAGGGAGAACCTTATAAATTAAAGACTGTAGTGCAGCTTTGTAGTTAATGTCACTTTAGAATGTGATACTGAGCTGGCCTGGTGAGTGAGGCTGTCATATGATGCCAGTGTGTGTCTCATTAACACAGTGTACTCTTTTCAGTGACCCTTTGAATGCCTCTTTACCAATGACCAGTGCTGTACAGAACTCCACCTACACAACTTCAGTCATTACCTCCTCCAGTCTGACCAGCTCGTCCTTGAGCTCCACTAGTCCAGTAACAACGTCTTCCTCTTATGACCAGAGTTCTGTACATACAAGGATTGCATACCAAAGCCCTGCGAACCCCCCGGATTCAACTCCAGGCTCTGTTGCTGTAAGTGCTTCTCGTGGGCTTCTTTTCTTTTTCTTTGTTCGTTCCTTTCTTTCTTTCTTTCTTTCTTTCTTTCTTTCTTTCTTCCTTCCTTCCTTCCTTCCTTCCTTCCTTCCTTTCTTTTTTTTTTTTTTTAAACGAGACAGGGTTTCTCTGTGTTGTTTTGGAGGCTGTCGGTCCAGCCCGGCCTCGAATTCACAGAGATCCGTCTGCCTCCCGAGTGCTGGGGTTAAAGGTGTGTGCCACCACCGCCTGGCATGGGCTTCTTTTCTTGGGATGTGCACTTTGGAAAATTATGCTTTAAAATGTATTTATTAGTCAGGCATTAGTGGCACACGTCTTTAATCCTAGCACTCGGGAGGTAGAGGCAGGTGGATCTCTGAGTTCAAGACCAGCCAGGTCTACAGAGTAGGTTCCAGGACACCCAGGACTAAACAGAAACCATGAGGAGTGTGTGTGGGGAGACATAGACATGTAGAAGTCAAGAGAACAACTTGCAGGAGTTGTTCTCTCTTTGTCTTGTGTCCAGGATCTAACACTGGGTGTCAGGCTTGGCAGCTGGTGCCTTTGCTCCTAGAGCTTTTAGCAAACCAAAGACTGGTGCTTTCCTACCCCACTGCCTTTTTTGTTTATTTTGTTTTTGTTTTGGCACAGGGTTTTTCTGTGTGACTGTCCTAGCTGTCCTGGAACTAGCTCTGTAGACCAGGCTGGCCTCAGACTCATAGAGATCCACCTACCTGCCTCTGCCGGGATTAAAGGTGTACACCGCCGCCACCGCCTGGCCAGACATTGGCTTTTGATGAGCTCTACAGTACCAGATGTACAATACCAGAAGCGTTTCCTGGGGAACAGTCATCAAATCTAACAGAAAAGCATTGCTTCTTCCCATAAGAGGCTTATCATTATTAACCCAGAGTTCTTCTTGCCTGGTTGGTCTGGATTGTTGTATATATACGAGGTCCACAGCTAAGTAAGACTGTTGATAACACATGGAGCCATAGCAATAGTGTCTTAGAATCCAGCTCTGATGAGATCCATCAACAATAATGAAAATTGCTCGTGTTGCTTTAGGGGCCTTGGTCAAGAACTGTAGGATAGGGTATCCAGCTTCCAGGACTGAGGATTTTGTTTCCAAGCTATTGCTTCTAAGAATACTGGACATCTCCATTCAAATAAACTGAGGCACCATTCTATTAATAATTTGAGAGAAGAACACCAGGGCAAAACAAGGTCTAAATCTTGGCAGTTGCTGGTCAGCAGATAGAGAAGAATGAGGGGAGAGGTTGTCAAGCAGCTGTGGACAGGAGTCTCTGGAGAAGTGGGGTGAAGCCCAGTGTGTGTGAAGCTGGCTGTGGTGGATCTCCTAGAACTGCAGTAGACTGTGAGCCACCATGTAGATGGTTCTGGAGAAGTGGGGGTGAAGCCCAGTGTGTGTGAAGCTGGCTGTGGTGGATCTCCTAGAACTGCAATAGACTGTGAGCCACCATGTAGATGCTGGCCATCAAATATGGACCCTATGGAGAAGCAACCAGGCCCCTTTCTCCTGTGTCGTCTCTCCGGTCCTAGTTGGACATTTTAATGCAAGAGTGCGTCAGCTTTTCCCTGCTGTTGCTCTGTTCTGGACATAGTGTCTTAGCCTTGTGGGTCACGTTCTGTGACTTCCTCCCCAGCCTGTAGGGCAGGTGTCATTTTAGTGTTTTAGTCAGTCCCACCACAGTGTGTTAGCTGGGTTCAAGCCAGTTGACTTAGGGTCTACAGTTGTGGAGAGCATAGTCACAGCTTCAAAATAGTTCTCAAAGTGTGATGTTTCCTGGTATGGACGTTACCCTTCCTTTAAAAAGGAGCTTGACTTTTTTTGTTTTTGTTTTAATTTAGAAGCTTACTTAGCGAATTTACATGAGAGATGGGAAGCATCACGTGATTGGATTATAATGAGACTTCCTCTTCCTTATTCAGTTTAACAACTTGATAGTTGTTTTACAAGTGTTTAGCCTCCTGTGCCCGCTTCTTGTAATTTATTAAGCTAGTTGCGTTTTGTCCCCTTCTTTTATTTTCCTTTTCCTTTTCCATGAAAACAAAGGAATGAGATAGATGCGGATGGAGATGTTGCTTAGTTTTCAGAGCCTCCCTGCTCTTGCATTCTCCCTAGGCCTATGACACCACCTGGTACCTGAGTGACGTGCACTCACATTGATGATACACACACGTGGGTAAACTCTTTGAAAAGAAATAATTGCTCTTTTGTTAACCTGTTCATATGGGTGTTGCAGTCCCAGGTGAGAGTCACCCTGGTGATTGTCTGGAAACGTCCATGTGTTAACTCTCTCTGTTCTTTGTAGAATGGACATGGTGGTGGCCGAAGTCAGCACACAGTAGACAGTAAGTGTTACGTTCTCATTACAACTAGTGAAAACCAATTGGGGAAAGACTAACATAATTCAGAAAACACCAATTCATTGACTAGTGGCTAATTCTCCAAAATCAGTACTTGACTTTTCCCTGGAAACCACTTTTTCTTTATTTTTGAGATTGTCTCACTAGTAGCTCTGATTGACCTGACTTGACTTGCTATGTAGATCATGCTGGCCTCGAACTCATAATACCTCTGCTTGCCTCTGCCTTCTGCGTGCCAGGATTAAAGATGTATACCACCACACTACACCCCAAAGCTACTTTTCTGAGGGGGTGTTTTAGTCACTGAATGTGAAGTTACCTGGGAATCCCAGTGCATGCAGGAGCCTCTCCCATGCTCCATGCTTCTTTTTTGAGGGTTCATTTCTCTGGGAGTCCTTTATGAAGTCACCCTTGGTTGTGGAACTGACCTTTAGCCTCTTAATTTGGGGTGAGATGCTTCACTGGAGTCTTCATCCAGTTTCTTTAAGAACCAATTTCTTTTTCAGAATCAGATGCAAAAAGTCTTAGGAATGTGATTCACTGCAAACCCACCTCCCCCAACCCTATCCTTTAGTTTCCTAGCAATTAATCTCAGATTGGCACCATTCCTCTCCTGATTTCCCAACATAACACAAGGTATTGCACTCCAAACTGGTACTTGGTTTTTCAAGTCAGGGTTTCTCTGTGTAGCCCTGACTGTCTTGGAATCCAGAGATCCCTGCCACTGCCTCCCAAGTGCCAGGACTAAAGGTGTGTGCCTCCACTGTCTGGCAAACCATAATCAACATTAGCTAAGTCATCTTTTTCACAATCGTATCAGATCATATCAGAGATTGAAAGGCTTCAACTAGACCCAACTGGGAAGATAAAGCCCGCTCCTCCATTTCCCAGATAGGGTGGGACTATTACTGCCCTTCCTTACAACCCAACTCTCGTGCTCCTTAGCCCAATGATTACTATCCTGACAACTTCAGTGTTTATCCCCTTTCCTTTTGCTCCTGGACATTGGTTATTTCCCTCTCACAAATATGAATTAAAACACCCATTACACTGTTTATATTAGCTTGGTCAGTAGAGTGCCTACCTAGGCTATATGTAGCTCTGAGTTGAGTCTCCAGGACCGCATGCAACCAGGAGCGCTGGCAAAGCCTGTAATGGGAGCACTTGGAAGGCAGGCACGAGAATCAGAAGCTCCTCAGTGTGTTGTTATGCACGAATGCTTCAATTCCAGCACTCAAGAGGTCACGGTGGCAGAAGGGTCAGGAGTTCAAGGTTGGCCTGTGCTACATGAGACTTTATCTCAGAAAGAAACCAAGTTGGCCAAACTGTAGGCCGACCTGTTCCCTGCCCGCTGTACCCTCTCCTGTTAGAGTGGAGTGCTTCCTCACAGGGAGTTCTGCAAGAGGGAAAAGACGATGATGTTTTTCCAAGCACATATCTGATTTATGTGTGGATGACAATCAAACTGAGTCTTTTCCAAAGCCATCAGTTGTGTCTGTGTCATCTCTGAGACGTAAAACTTGTATTTGTGCTCTGTGATTAACCCTTTGAAACACATACCAAGGAAGTTTCCGCTGTGCATCTGCGAGTAGACGTTAATGTGAATTCTTACTGCGGTAATGAACCAATTCCCACATTTCCCCTGAAGTTCCAGTGCACTCTGGAGCCTGGGCCTTGACTGGCTTCAAGTGGATGGAAACGCTCTGAGGGGGCCTTCTCTCTTCACTCCCTCCTGCCATGCGTTTTAAGGGAGATCTGTCTCACTTCACTACATACACATGTTTTGACCCATCGTTTTTTTCTGGGTGTGACTAAAAATGGGAGAAATGTCTGCATCATGACAGTTTATGTTTGCGTGTCATTCTCTGTTTTTGTTCATACCCTTCAAATCTGGTTGTGTAGTCCTATTTGCAAGAAATGGAGCTGTCTGGTGACATGCTTAGGCTCTATCCTAGGAAAATGTCACGTAGCACATGTGAATGTGACCAGGTAGTCCTGAGGGTTGCTTCTGAGGCTAAACAGAGATGTTTCCTGCAGCCCCGTCATGCGTTCCGGCTGCAAAGACGACAGACCCCCCCGCCCTCCCGTCCGTGGGCTCCCTGCCCAGCACCAGCTGCTGCCCCGCGCTCCTGCCCTCTTCATCCCCGCACACGGCCGCTCTGCCCTCCTTGTCCCAGTCTGGTGACCTGCCCAGCAGCCCCCTTTCTCAGCTCAGCAGGTATGTGGTGACAGCAAGAAGAGAAAAGAGGGGCGGAGACTTGGGGGCTCCTGTCTCACGGTGCCACGAACAAAATCCAATTGTCACCTCTGGTGGAGTGTCATGTAGACTTCAGTTGTGGTACACTAGTTTAGACTTTGCCCTGGTCCCATCCCGACATCACTAGATATGAAGCCCTAGCTGCTGCTTGGATTCTGCAGCAGAGCCCTAGGTCTGCAGAGACGCAAGCAGCTACTGCCCGGCTGACTGCCCGACATACTTGAATGTGCAGGGAGTCTGTGTCTGCCTTAACGCCTGTCCTGATTCCACAGACAGATTGCTGGGCTAGGATACCGGAAAGGGGGTTAGCTTGGCACCCATGCCTTCTGGGTAGAGCTCTTTGATCCATTTAGTTAAGAGCAGACATGGTTGATTTGAACTCTGGATTGATGGGAATTTGAGCTACACATAGAACCTCTGTTGACTCCCAGTCTTCTGAGCTCTCCAGGTAAGCAGTCCTGGTTTTATTCTTTTTTTTTTTTTTTTTTTTTTTTTTTTTTTGGTTTTTACGAGACAGGGTTTCTCTGTATTGTTTCGGAGGCTATCGGTCCAGCCTGGCCCCGAACGCACAAAGATCAGCCTGCCTCTGCCTCCCGAGTGCTGGGATTAAAGGCGTGCGCCACCACCACCCGGCGGTTTTATTCTTTCTATAGCCAAAGTGGTTATAATTTATTGAAGCAAGATGTATCAGATATTTAACTCTGTAGACCATTTTTGACCATCAGGATGACTTTGTCACAGGATTCTAAGGGCATGAAGTCCAATGCCCAGCCATCCTTAGGGGTTGGGTTGACCTTGGTTATAGCCTGTTAAACCAGGTAGGTCAGGCTTCCCTGAAGAGACGTGTTGAGATGCGGTGCTCCTCTTTATCTTGCAGTTCTCTCTCCAGCCACCAGAACAGCTTGTCCTCTGCACATGCAGCGCGTCCCGCAAGCTCGCCCCACACAGTAAGTGCCCGCATCTCCTGCACAGTGCACCCAGATCTCCCATGATTAGTGGGGAACTTGCTTAATTTTGATCTGAGATGAGCCAGAGTCTCATGGTTGTTCATTGCCTTAGACCCTTATGCGTTTTCTCACACAGATGTCCGGGCTGTGCTTGTCTTCAAGGACTTAGAGTGCTCTTTTCCTTGCAGAGACAGTTTTGTTTCCTGCCCTTTTTTATTTCACAGTTTTTGTTATTGTTGTTGTTGAAGAACAGGCTTGTTTCTTATTCCTGTGTCTCATTGTCCTGCCTCGTGGCCTAAAAGATATAACTAAATTACATTCCTTTATGTGATGTTATTGGGACTTTGCTAGTGGTAGTGATTAGTCCAGTTTGATTGGCCTTCATACCAAATTGCCTGCTAAGAGACAGACAGTTTGAGGAGAGATGGCTTTAGAACGTCAAGAAATGTAGGCTAGTAGAGTTTCTTTTTTTTTTTTTTAACGAGTCAGGGTTTCTCTGTATTGTTTTGGAGGCTGGCAGTCCAGCCTGGCCTTGAACTCAGAGTTCTCCCGAGTGCTGGGATTAAAGGCGTGTGCCACCACCGCCCAGCGGCTAGTAGAGTTTCAAAGTGGAGGTGTCAGCTAGGGACTGCCCTTAGGTGTGCGCTCACATTTAGGGACGTGCATGGCATTTGTGCCTGTTGCCCACACAGGTCAGGAAGTGGCTTAAATACCCTCACTTTACAGCTACGGATGATTATGAGACACCAGGTGTGTGCTTGGGACCAAATCTAGGTTCTCTGCAAGAGTAGCCAGTACTTTTAATCACTGAACCATCCTCTGAAGCTCCCTTCTTATCTATATGTGTGCATCTGTCTGTGTCTGTGTGTGACTGCAGGTACCCATAGAGTCTAGAAAAGGGTGTCGGGTCCCCTGGAGTTGGCATGACGGTTATGAGCCCTCTGATGTGGGTGCCGTTTAGTGGTAGTGGGATGGGGCAGACATACTCCCCCTCTAGAAGAGCTGTGTGTGCTCTTAACCTCTGGGGCTTTTGTTTGAGACAGTCTCAAACTGGTCTGGAACTCCCAGAGATCGCCTTGCTTCTGTCCCTGAAGTGATGGGAATAAAGATGTATGCTCTCGAGACCAGCCTCCAGCCCAGCTTCCGTAGTTTTCGTGTGGACTGTGAGTCATGGCTGAATCTGGCCCTGCAGTTAGAGGCTGCACTGACCCTAAGACAGGTGTCTCACTCATCTTCAGTCGCCGAGTTCTGGCATTGCTCACTGCCTGCTGAGCCGTAGGAGTCCTAGCTGTCCCAGGGGCTGCTTGCGATCAAACCCACATGTATTGGCTTTTGTTTTGCCAGCATGCCAGTGTGGAGAGCACCCCATCCTCAGCCACCTTCTCAACAGCTGCCACCTCTGCCCCAAATGCCGCATCCTCGGGGGTTGTCTTGCCTGGGAGTAGCCTGTGCCTGGGTGGGAGCACTGTGAGTGTGGCCGGCAACAGCACCAGGGCCACAGCCTTGGTGACCTCAGGTATGTGCTCCAGGCCCCTTACCTACCCTCAGGTATGTGCTCCAGGCCCCTTACCTACCCTCAGGTATGTGCTCCAGGCCCCTTACCTACCCTCAGCAGTGAACTTACAAACATGTGCTCCACCTCCAGGCAGCTGAGCTGCCCCACAGCGACGTGTGTAATCTATCGTGTTTGCTTTGTTCTTCTTATAGGCAAAGCACCCCCAAACCTGCCTCAGGGGGTGCCTCCTCTGCTACACAATCAGTACCTCGTGGGCCCTGGAGGGCTGCTTCCTGCTTACCCGGTGAGCACATAGTAGAGCTCCTGGTTGCCTCAGGGCGTGGTACCTTGCAGGACCTGGTAAGGGCTTGTGACTTAGGACAGGACTGCCCACCTGAGGCAGCTTATCTCCCTGTTTCTATCCACCTGATACCCAGTGTATCTTCCTCGGTCTAGACTGTGTAGACAGATTCTGTAGCACCTGACCCAAGTCCAATTCCTCAGTGTGTCTGTTTTGACCCCCAAGATGGCATTGGTGTGAGTGGCCCCTAATATATCTGTGAATCTCCTGCAGATCTATGGATATGACGAGCTCCAGATGCTGCAGTCGCGGCTGCCGATGGTGAGTACAAAATAGCGAAGTGGGCCGGGCGGTGGTGGCGCACGCCTTTAATCCCAGCGGGAGGCAGAGGCAGGCGGATCTCTGAGTTCGAGGCTGGGCTGGACCGACAGCCTCCAAAACAACACAGAGAAACCCTGTCTCGTAAAACCAAAAAAAAAGTGAACCTGGGCAGCCCAGACTCTTGGGGCTCCTTAACCTGCTTGACTGCCACTACATCGGACCTCCAAGACCACAGCTATGACACTCTCCCACTCTACCTTTGAGAAGCTGTGTCTGGTAATGATATGCTTGGTTTCACCTGGGGGGGGGCAGAATGGACGGATAGGGAGCAGTGTTCATCCTCAGAGGAATTTGAGAGACTTTAGACCAGGAGTACATATAAACCATGCCCTGTACCAAATTTAGTCCCTTATTTTCCTGCTCCTTTTTTTTTTCCTTAGAAAACTAAAAATAGCTGAACATGGAGGTCCATTAGCATTTGAGAGGCTAAACTTCAGTTAGACCAGTTTAGGCTATATGCCAAGATCCTGTCTCAGAACAGATATCATACAGTCCAAGTCGTGAGAGTTGCACTTGAAATACAATGTTGTGTCAGAGCACCAGTGTTTCCTTGGGCTGTAGTGCCCATGGCTGCAACACTGCTCTTCTCCCTGCTGGAGAGTAAGGGCAGGGCTTGAGTGACGTCATTAAACTGTCATATGGGTTTAGCCTTTCACATTTATTTGCAAGAACGCTGGCCCTGGTACCATTGGCTCACTTTCTGGGTTGTCTGTTCTGACCCTGAGTCTCGGGATAAAACGATGGGTTTGTAGGGAAGCCAGTGATGGGCAGAGCAACAGGGAGTGGCCGGCTCCGTATGAAGCAGGATTGCCCTCTGGTTAGCCAGTCTTAGACCACTGCTCTCTAGAGCATCAGCCGGTGACAGGCACAGAATGTAGACTTCTACCCAAGCATGGCAAGCATGGGGCTGTCTGCTTTTCCAGCAGTGCTCCATTTGGGTTTCTGCAAGCTCTGGCAGCTTTCTGTGCCTCTGAGATTCCCATGTTTTTCCTGGAGTTTACCAAGACTTGTGACCAAAGGATTCCAGTGCCATTGCCAGTTCTGATGCTCTTGTCTGGTTTGACCTCAGAACTAGGGCAGCTCAGAACCCTGCGTGATGAGGGCTAGGGCAGGATTTCTTCATCCATAGACTACAACCTTTTCCACCTCCTGTAGCTCTGCAGTGTCCTGAGGTCCTGTACCTGGCGCTGCTTCCTGCCCACTTGCAAGCCTCCAGGCTCTGCCCCTTCTCCTTTCCAGTCACTGTTCCTGGTCTCACACAGTGAAGAGCGGTAAAGTTGCTTTCATCTGTACCGTTTACCGAGGCTCCGTGTGTGAGATTGGCTATGTCTGTTACAAGCATTAGGGTTTGCAGTCTGCCACACCTTGTCAGCTGAGGGCTGTGTGCAGCACACACCAAGGGGATTGTCACACTTGCAGCTCTCTGGGACAGCTGCCCACAATGGTCACTCTTGAGTGTGACATCACCCGGAGTGCCCATGCTTGTCTGCCAGCTGGATCTGCTCTCTGTGAGGGTGGGGCAGGCAGACCATTTGCTAAGTGAGTCTCCTTGGTCTTCTCTAGGATTACTATGGAATTCCCTTTGCAGCACCAACAGCCCTTGCCAGCCGAGATGGGAGTTTAGCTAGTAATCCGTATTCAGGTTAGTTGCACATTGGGCGGGAGTGGGAGGGATGGGCTGGCCTGGAGCTAGCAGTGGGAGGCCAGAAGGGCTGAGGTGCTGAAGGTGTGAGTCCTGAGCTGGCAGTTAGACCCGCTCATGTCTGCAACAGCCACCTGGTTCTTCTAGGTGATATCACAAAGTTTGGCCGAGGAGACTCTGCATCCCCTGCACCTCCAACGACACCAGCTCAGGCACAGCAGGGCCAATCCCAGACCCACCACGCGGCACAGCAGCCCTTTTTGAATCCTGCTCTGCCCCCTGGCTACAGCTACACCGGCCTCCCCTATTACACAGGCGTGCCCAGTGCCTTCCAGTATGGGCCCACTATGTTTGTGAGTATTTCTCCAAGTCGCTCCCTGGGCTGTGGGCTCCTCAAAGGTGAAACCCTGGACATGCTTTCCACCATCTGGCCTTGAGGATTGCTCAGGGGTCAGATTCCATTCCCCAGCTGCCTTTCGAGCCATCTTGGATTGCACTCCTCATGAAGAGACTGACTCTCTTGGCTGTGACTTGGTTTTGCTCAGGCCGAAGCTGCCTGGACTCCTCTTTGCCTTATTATACTCAGACCTCACCTGTTTGTCCACTAGGTCCCGCCAACCTCAGCGAAGCAGCACGGTGTGACCCTCAGCACTCCCCCTTTTCAGCAGGCCAGTGGCTATGGGCAACACACTTACAGCACTGGTAAGGGCATCCCCCCTTTACTGAGGGGCGCAGGGGGAGACAAACTTGCTTAGCCCATACATGCCTCTCTTGTACCCTGCCATGCTAGGTTATGATGATTTGAGCCAGGGGACAGCGGCAGGAGACTATACCAAGGGTGGCTATGGTGGATCATCACAGGCACCAAACAAGTCGGCTGGATCTGGGCCTGGCAAAGGTAGTATCAGCTCCTCACCTGGAATAGTTGTCTCCTGTCTGACTCTGAGGCAGGGCTAGCCCAGGGTCTCTGGAACTGGGGCTGAATGCTGTGGGGAACAACTGCTTTTTGTCCTAGGAGTATCAGTGTCTTCAGGCACCACTGGCCTGCCAGATATGACTGGGTCTGTCTACAACAAGACACAGGTGAGGGTAAACAAAGGCGGGTAGGTAGTTGGGAAGCGGGGGACTTACAGTTCAGCCTGGCCTCTCATTGTCATCTGTGTCCTACAGACGTTTGACAAGCAGGGATTTCACGCAGGGACACCCCCACCTTTCAACCTGCCCTCTGCCTTGGGCTCCACTGGGCCCCTGGCCCCTGGGGCCGCCCCCGGCTACGCAGCCGCACCATTCCTGCACATCATGCCTGCCCACCAGCAGCCGCACTCCCAGCTGCTGCACCACCTCCCCCAGGACACCCCGGTGAGCGCAGTCATGGAGGCAGCCTCCCTGCCATGGGCCTGGGCTTGTATGCCAGCCTCTATAGCCTTTTCTCCTCTTCCTCCTCAGAGTGGCTCTGGTCAGCGCAGCCAGCCCAGCTCCATGCAGCCCAAGTCTCAAGCCTCCAAACCCACCTATGGCAACTCTCCGTACTGGACAAACTAGACCCTGAAAAAAGAGAGGGTGGGCTCTTGTGCAGGAGAAAACCATGGAGCACATTTCTGGGAGCCCAGTGCCCTTTCCTAGAATTCTGAGACGTAACTGTCAGCTGAGCCTCTGTGGGAAGCCTGCTCCCAGACCCACTGTTGTATGTAATGTATTTATGTATGTATTTGTAAATGTGACAGAAGCCTGGAGGCGCTGGGGTGTGGCTACCGGGTAGCATGCAAGTGTGCTCCCCGTCTGGACACCTCACTGTAGCCGTCTGCCCCACCCCGCCCCTTCTGCTTTCGGGCCTTCCACGCGGCTCCCAGCCCAGTGGCTGCTTGGTATGCCACTGAAGGGATGGACGGTGGTTTGGGGACTGGGGTCAGATACCAATGAAGAATCACGACTTTTCTTTATCTCATTGTTTTTCCCTCTGTAATTACTTCATACTTGTTGAGAAATTGATCCTTTTGTCATTTGTCATGGTCCCCTTTAACAAATCTTATCTGGGATAGCAGAGGTGACATGCCTGTCTGTACAGCCAGGCGCCCTGCTCTTGGTCTGGTCCTGCCCTCGGCCTTACCTGTGACCAACCATTTAAAGAATCTGAACTGGGTCTCAGAGATGTTCAGCCAGTCAGCTCCCTTGTGAAGAAATCAAAGGTTGCTTCCATCTCAGTGAAAGCCTGTCTCCAAACAAAGGCTCCTCTATTCCAGTTGTCCTGAACCAGGCGGGCAACTGTTTCAGGGTTCTCTCTCACCCAAACTCCACCTAATAAAGTTCTTGAGAGCACGCTGGGTCTCTGTGTACTCTAAGGATGGCTTGGGAGAGTCACCGGACCTCACAGGGATGGCCATTTGAATTGCTGTCTTTCTCTTCAGGGCCTAGGCTGTGTCCACTAGCTATCATGGTGGTGCTGTCCAAGCGCCAGCTGACCCAGGATCCCGAGGAAAGCCAAGTGCCAGGGCTCAAGGCCTGAGCTGTGCGTGCCTGTCCTTTGCTGTCACAGGCAGTGGTGGGACAGGGAGCTGCTGAGTCAGTGCTCAGTGTCCTCAAGTGTCACAGCTCATTTCAACTCCACATCTGTGTACTTTATTTAAAATGCTGGGGGGCGGGGACCCGGGACCCAGACAGAATTGGGGTTAGTGCTTTTGAAGTGGGCCACATCTATTTCATTGGGACCGACCATCTTTGAAGCTTGGATGGTTTGGGGATCACAGTGACCAGTGTCTTCTCCTGCAGTCGAGAGTGGTCAGCCATCACACACCTGCAGCTTTTGACCCGTAGCTTAGGATCCTGGCCAACTGAGACAGACACGCGTTTTGTCTCCTGTGGCATCCCTGTTCCACATCATGAGTGCCATGCTCTCCTGCGCGACTATGACAGTGAACACCAAACCAAACGTTTGCCCTTCAGGCAAGTTAAACGAGTGGCCTTAACTAAGGTTATTGAGTGAAGGTAGTGTCTATGAAAAGGCTTAGGTTTTAGTTTTAATATTTTAGCTGAGACCTGGCTATTGTCGAGGTGACAGTGAAATATATTTTTTAAGGACCCATGGGGAAGTAGCAATACAGGTGTATTTTATTTCACATTTTTATTAGTAGACAGATGGGCAGAAAAAGACAAAATAAATCACTAAGGGGAAGTCAACACAAAATGCATTGGATAAACTTTTCTCATAAGTTAAAACTGAAAAACCATCTATAATTTTAGCTAAGGAAACTATTAAAAGTCAGGTGTGTCCGCTGGTTTCAGTTGAAAATTGCATCTGAATCTTTAGTTGTGAATGTAAACCTTGTGTATCAGGGCAGGAGGGAGGGTAATTTTCCTAGAGAGCTATGTATTTCCCTTCCAATGGACAGGACCAGACATAAGGGACCAGGAGGGAAGGAAGAAGGGACTACAAAAAAGAGGGAGGCTAACAATTCTGGAATGATAGGAGAAGTGGGGAGACTGAGGAGCAACAACAGAGTCATGATACTACATACTTCTCCACGCAGCCTCACGATACATGGAAGTAAGGAGCAGCCATTCAGTGAGGCCTTGATTAGACTTAAAAAAAAAAACCTTGTCCTTTTCAAGCTAAATAACCAATTGTTCTACCTGCAGCGGAGACATCTATCTACCCCCAAAAGTGAAAACACACACTCAAGTAGTTTTCCACAGGACATGTTCTCAGGGACCACAATCTGTGACCACCAACTGTTGTCAGTTTCAACTGCCAGTGTCTGCCTGCCAGCAAGTCAACATAGCCTTTGGAACTGACTGCACTCCCATCAAACGCAAAGCTAGCCTGCAACAGGACTGTCAGCAAAGGCTGAGAGGCCCGCCTCCATTTCCCTCTCTGGCTCCGGGTCAACACGCAACGCAGGCCAGCAGGGCACTTCTTACAATTCCAAGACGCCTAACATGCCCAGGAGTGAGGGGAGATGCTTTTTCATGAAAGGCTTGTTTAGGGTGCCAGAGTAAGGCCAAACATTAGCTGTAAACTTGCGGGGGGCCGTGGGGCGGGGAGTATCAGCGCTATTTGGCTCCAGGTTTGCAGGCTATCTGGGAGCACTGAATGAAAGGTAAAAACTGTCCTACACAGCACAGCAGCTGTGTTTCCTGCACCACTAGACTCAGGTAGCCCTGGCCCTGAGGAGATTAATTTCATAGATATTTCAGGACCAGACTAAACATTCTCACTTAGTGGCAGATCACACTAGAGGCCAGAGAGCTGCTGGGAAATAGCATTCATTCAGGAGCATTTGAAGAGTGAATGAAAACCCTGAGATCAGAAAGGAAGGAAGGACCGCCCACCTACTCAACAGTGGAGGATCCATCCTCCCCAACTCCTGTCTGCCCTTTGGTTCTTTGGGGCTGAAGTCTGAAGATAAGGAGTGACGCTGGCACACAATGATCTTAACACCCCATCCTTCTGGAAACTGGCTCACATCACAGCATTGCAGAAGTCCCTGGATGGTGAAGGCTGGAGGAGCTCAGTCTTGACTGGAGTAACATGACTGAGATCTGGGGAAACAACTGGAAATACCTGCGGTCAGCCAGCGTCCTGCCCAAACAGAGAAGCCCAGGGGAAGCTCCACGAACAATTCCTGTTTGCTTGCACTCCATGGCCGAAGGAGAAAGACATCCAGATCATATCCAATGAGGAAAACAACCAGTCCCAAGTCGCACACATCCGAAATTATCACTATCAGTATAAGCAGCTCAATGAAAACCAAATCTTAACACATGCGCCTAGGATTCATACTGAATAATTAAAAGTGGCTACTTACTTAACAAAAATAAACCTCAGGTGAGTATCTGAGACGTTTCCTCTCCCAACAGTGGCCACAAGTAATTTTCACTATTCCCCTCAGCAGCATCAACCAAAGCTGGTATAACTTTCATTTCCATAATTAAAATCCACACACACTAACCTCCACTCCCCCCACTTGTCCTACCTTTAAAATAAATAGCAACCGAGTGCTCAGTTCTATGTAAAGTATGAATATTTATTTCAGGCTTTAGATCCCAATCGATTCCAAAAAACAAAATCTGATTTCTCTCCTCAGAGTAGCTGTAGCCTCCATGTTGGGATGATGTCATAGAGGCAGAAGCAGCACATTCATCAGGCTTAGCAAGAGGAAGGAAGTCCCTGCTGCCCACCGCATCCCAGCCTCAGGAAGGGAAAGGAACAAAGTCACCACACGGGGCTGAACCAACGCACACGCACTAATGGAAGGAGCAGCTAACCCTTGGCAAATTGGCTTTTTTTTTTTTCTTTCTTTTTTTTTTTTTGAAGTTTGTTTTGTGGGTTTTGTTTTGTTTTTTGTTTTTTTTTTTTGGTTTTATGTTCCCCCCCCCCCCCCGTTTCCTTTTGCTACCCAATATATGCAGCACTTGTGGACTCCCAGTGGGTTCCCAGCTTTAAACACATTGATGTCTTAAAGAGACTAATTCTTCAAGAATCTACAAACAAACAAACAAACGTGTTTTGCTGTGGACATTCTGCAGAGATGAAGTGAGGTGGGAGTTTCAGGGCGGTGGTGTCTGTTTAAAAAGAATCAATACAGTGATGGAAGGGTGAAGAATTCGAGAACTCAGACATTCTGTGGGGGTGCTTTCTCTCCAGTAAAAGTCCATAAAAAGGAGCAAACTGAGATCCGCAGGGCAGTCAGCAGGAGCTGTGTGTGTCCCACCCCATGAGTAAAGTCTTCGCTGAGGGGCCACCATAGATCCCCACTTGCTCCCTCCCTTTGGCCTGAGACGTCAGGGCAGTACAGGGTCCTGAAGGACCATGTCACGATTCCTCGTTCCCAGAATCATCATCATCATAACAGTCGGCATCTTCTTCCTCCTCATCTTCATCATCAATGTCGTCGTCATACAAGTCGTCATAAAGCAAATCTGAGCTGTTGTCATTGGAAGGCACTTTAGTTTTGATGCAGTATTCTGCCAGGGTTGTGGGGACCTTCACTCCGTCCTTCTCTGCTTCAGCCTTAGTCGCCGAGACCTGTTTCCTGAAGAATGGGATGACAGAATGTTTGTGGAAGTCTGCTTTTGTTGTGTTTTGTGAGGGTTTCATAACCCACACTGGCCTTAAGTCTCCTCATGCTGGGAATATGAGCAAAAGCCATCATACTTGAATTAAGCATCTGTTTTGAAGACAGACTTTGTAAATGACTTTGGTCAAGATTCTCATCACTCACTGCAAACTCCAGATGGAAAGGCCAGCCTAGCCTGCACCACACCAGGCTCTCACCCCCAGGTACCAGCTTATGTGTGGAGGGTCCTTGTTTAATTAACACTCCAGCCTTATTCACCACTGCATGGGTGAGGTTAGTATAACCCACAGCATTTGAAAATTACCCATCTCTGGTAAGGGCTCAGGGATGCAGGTGCATATGCACTACTGGCTTTTTATGTGGTTCCTGAACTCAGGCTTGAAGGGGGTGCCAGGAATCAAACCAAGGGCATGTAGCAAACATTCTACCTCCTTCACACATGCTATGGCCTCCCCTGTGCTTGCTTCCTACTGGAAGGTACAGTCACTAGAACAGATGCCTGTGCGCCTCAGTGTTTCATTACTTGGTGATGGAATGGCAGAGCAGTAGCTGCCCAGCAGATGCTGACTATTAAGTGTACGATAGTTTCTTTCCAAAGTCATCGGGATGGGTGGGGGACTGGAAAACTGAAAACACCGCTCCCTGGAAACTTCCTTTGTTGCCAGGCTCTGCCACGCATGTCCCTGTAGCTTCTATACCTTCACCGTTAACATTAATTACCACTGGAAACAAGCAGGTCACAGTGCTGTACACTATGATCCCAGTACTGCAGAGGCAGAGGCTACATCTCTGTGTTCAAGGCCAGCCTGGTTTAAAGTGGCCTACCCCAAGACAAACGAGCCCCCCAGAGTTTGCACTGCTTTCTTTTTTGCTGTGTTTTTGTTTCTGTAGTGGATTCTCTTTTGATAGCTAAGTCCATTAAGTTCCTACTCCATAAATCTGAGACATTGTTTTAAAGTAACAAGATACTGAAGTTTGGTTGTGAACAGAGTTCCAGTGCACATGGTCTGACTCACCTAATAATCTCGGCGTACTCCTTGTCTTTTCCTTTACTGTCCCTCCATTTCCTGAACATAACTGAAGCATCCACATTGGCTGGGGAAAAGGTGTTGGGCTCATTAAGCAGTGAGATTACACTTAAGAGGATAGTCCTGAAAAGGAGACAAGAATCCACCATGAGAAGCCATGTTCACAAGGACAGCTGTTTCTGTTTTTGAGGAGGGCTGCAGATGTGACAAGTCTGGCTGGTCTCTGCTAAGGCCTCATCTACACAGGGAGTGCTGGGACCCTGAGTGAGGACTGGAGTTCGCTTACCCAGCCACAACTTCTCTTTTTGCCCCAAGGATATGCAAGACACTGGAAGAGCTCAGAACACAAAGTACAGCTTTTAAAGAAATTACACTTTTAAAGGCTTTCTCCCTTAAACTATCTGATACAAATCTGAAGCTTATGAAAAGTTTTGCTTGGGGGGGCTGGTGAGATGGTTCAGCAGGTAAAAGTGATTTGCCACCAAGCCTGATGACCCGACTCTGATAGCAGGAATGAACATGACAATAGGAGGACCAACAAGCTGTCCTCGTATTTTTCTTAGATGCCAGACATACACCCACAGTAAATTTACTCTAGCTGCCAAAACGCCAGGTAGACAGCCTGACAGCAGACCTCCCCGACTCTCAGTGCCCCCAAACCTCGACAACATGCCCCTCATCATCATCCCCTTGTCCCAGCCCAGTCCAAGCAGAGACACCCTCCTGGATCAGACCACCAGACCCCAACTCAGGGGGAGACACCTCTTCCCCCCCCCCCCCCGCTCAACCACAGGCTACACAGACCAGAAGGGAAACAGAAACCAAGGAATAAAACACCCATCCAACAAAGACAAACTCAGAAATCGGCACCTAAACCTGTATCACCCCAAACCAAAGAGCCTAGATGCCAGAACAAGAGCACAGTAACAGCCAAGGCAATATGGTACCACAGAACCCAGCTATCCTACCACAGAGGGCCATGAGTATTCCAACAGCTTAAGTGCAAGAAAACGTTCTTAAAACTAGTTTTATGAAAATGGCAGAGATCCTTAAAGAGGAAATGAATAGATCCCGTAAAGAAACCAAGAAAAAGAGTAACTTAAAAAAAAAAAAAAGAAATACAGCCAGGCAGTGGTGGCGCAGGCCTTTAATCCCAGCACTTGGGAGGCAGAGGCAGGCAGATCTCTGTAAATTCGAGACCAGCCTGGACTACCAAGCGAGTTCCAGGACAGCCTCCAAAACAATACAGAGAAACCCTGTCTCAAAAACAAAAATAAAGAAAAAAAAAAAAAAGAGGAAATAAATGAATTCCTTAAAAAAAAATCACACATACACACACAAAACAACATAGAGTTGAAGGAAACAAAACAGTTCAAATCAAAGCAATAAGAAAAACACAAACTGAGGGAATTCAAGAATGAAAATTCTAGGTAAAGTAAACAGGAACTATAAGGCAAGTTTCATCAACAAAATACAAGAGATGGAAGAAAATCTCAGGCATTGAAGATTCGATAGAAGAAATGAGATATGTCAAAGGAAGTGTTAAATATAAGAAATTCCTGACATAAAACATTCAGGAGTTGGGTGTTGGTGGCTCAAGCCTTTAATCCCAGCACTTGGGAGGCATAGGCAGGTGGATCTCTGTGAGTTCCAGGCCAGCCTGATCTAACAGAGCAAGTTCCAGGACAACCTCCAAAGCCACAGAGAAACCCTGTCTCGGGGAAAAAAAACTCAGGAAATCTGGGACACTGTGCAAAGACCAAACCTAAGAATAACAGGAATAGGAGGAGAAGAATCTGAGCTCAAAGGCCCAGAAAATATTTTCAACAAGATAATATAAGTAAAGCTTCTTAACCTAAATACATGCCTATAAAGGTACAAGACGCATACAGAACAACAAATAGATGGACAAGATAAAGTCTCCTCATCGCATAATGATCAAAACAGTAAATATACACAACAAAGAAATGATATTAAAAGCTGTAAGGGAAAAAGACCAAGTAACATATAAAAGCAACCCTGTAAGAATTACGCCCAACTTCTCAATGGAGACTCTAAAAGCCAGAAGGGCAGATGTCCTGTAGACTCCTCTAAGGGACCACAGATGCCAGCCCAGACCACTATATCCAGTAAAACTTTCAATCACCACAGATGAAAAAAACAAGATATTCCATGATAAGTCAAATTTAAACTATCTATCCACAAATTCAGCCCTTCAGAAGGTACTAGAAGGAAAACTCCAACACAAGATTAACTATACCCATGAAAACATAGGAAATCATTTCCCACCAGCAAAGTCAAGCATGCACTAACAAAGAAACAGGAACTAACAATCACTGATCATTGATATATCTCAGTATCAATATCAATGACTCAATTCCCCAGCAAAAAGACACAGACTAACAGAACGGATTAAAAAACAAAATCCATACTTCTGCTGCATCCAAGAAACACACCTCAATGTGAAATATAGACATTACCTCAGAAGAAAGAGTTGGGAAAAGATTTTCCAAGCAAATGGACTTAAGAAGCAAGCTAGTGTAGCCATTCTAATAACTAACAAAATGAACTTCAAAATAAGAGATAGAGAGGGACACTTCATACTCACCAAAGGAAAAACCCATCAAGATGACCTTTCAATCTTAATATCAATGTCCCAAATGCAAGGGTGCCCACTGTTGTGAAATATTTAACTATATAAAGATGTGTTACATTTGCTTATGCTATATTTGTTTAATTATGCAAAGAAAATGTTGCTATTTCACCTTCCCCGCCAAGGCACCTGACTGGTCCAATAAAGAGCTGAATGGCCAATAGCTAGGGACCGGTGAGGCTGGCAGACAGAGAGAATAGAAAAAGTAGCTGGGCGTTGGTAGTGCACACCTTTAATCCAGCACTCGGGAGGCAGAGTAAGGTGGATCTCTGTGAGTTCGAGGCCAGCCTGGTCTACAGAGCGAGTTCCAGGACAGGGTCCAAAGCAATACAGAGAAACCCTGTCTCGAAAAACCAAAAAAAAAAAAGAAAAGAAAAGAAAAGAAAAAAGTAGGAAAGTGAGGAAGGAGGAGAAGATAGGGAGAAAGAGAGATGCTTAGGGCCAGCCAGCCATAGAAACAGCAGGAAAGTAAGATAGAAAGAAAAAAAGGTAAAAAGTCCTGAGGCAAAAGGTGGATAAAGAAAAACCGTTTAATTTTAGTTGAAAGAGCTAGTCAGAAGCGAGCCTAAGCTAGGCCGAGAACTGAAAACTAATAATTCGTCTCCATGTCATGATTTGGGAGCTGGTTGATGGCCCAAAAGAAAAAGCCTGGTACAACCAAACTTGTAAATGAAACGTCTCTAAAGCCCACACCACACACTAGCCACCAGACACTGGCAGTGGGAGGCTTCAGACAAGACTCTAGGTCACCCAGCTGGAAACTAGACAGAAACTGGCGCAAGCTGAGGCTATAAATCAAAAGGACTTAACATATCTACAGAACATTCCACAAAAGAACATAGCTTCTTCCTAGAATCTCATGGGACCTTCTCCAAAACTGACCACATAGAGCAAATATCAACAGATACAAGAAAGTTGAAATAACCTCTTGCATCCTATCAGACCACCATGTATTAAATCTAGATTTCAAGAACAGGAAACAAGAGAAAGCCTACAAACTCATGGAAACTCAACATCTCTCTACTGAATGAAAACTGTCAAGGCAGAAATAAATGAAAGACTTCCTAGAATTCAACGAAAATGGAAAGCACAGCATACCCAAACTTATGGGACTAAGAGGAAAATTCATAGCACTAAGAGCCAACACGAAGAATTTGGGGAAATCTCACACAAGCAACTTAACAGCACACCTAAAAGCTCTAGAACAAAAAAAAAAAAAAAAAAAAAAAAGCAAGCTCACCCAAGAGGAGGAAATGCCAGAAAATAATCAAATCAAGGGTTGAAATCAATAAAACAGAACAATAAAAGAATCAATGAAACAAAGAGTTAGTTCTTTTAGGAAATCATTAAGATAGTCAAACCCTTATCCAATCTGGAGAGCATCCAGATTAACAATATCAGGAACACGAGGGAGACATAACATGTACTCCACAAAATTGGAAAATCTAAAATAAATGGATAATTTTCTCGATAGATACCACTCAGGTAAATTAAATCATGATCAGATAAACAGAAAAAAAAAACTTAAACAGACCTATAACCCCTAAGGAAATAGATGCAGTCATTAAGAATTTCCTAACCAAAAAAGCCCATGGCCAGATGTTTTTAGTACAGAATTCTACCAGACTTTCAAAAAAGAGCTAATACCAACACTCCTCAAATTATTCCACAAAATAGAAACAAAAGGAGCATTGTGAAATTTATTTTATGAGGTCACAGTCACCCTGATACCCAAACCACACAAAGATTTAAGAAAGAAAAAGAATTACAGACCAATTTCCCTTTTGAACATAGATGCAAAAATATTCAATAAAATAATAGCCCCCACACCAAAAAGCTGGGCACTGGTGGTGCATAACTTTAATCCCAGCAATCAGGAAACAGAGGCAGGTGGATCTCTGTGAGTTCACGACCAGCCTGGTCTACAAAGTGAGTTTTAAGAACAGTCGAGGCTACACAAAGAAACCCTGTCTCAGGAAAAAAAACAAAAACAAAAACACCTAATAAACCAAATCCAAGAACACATAAAAAAGATCATCCAGCATGACCAAGTAGGTTTCATCCCAGAGATGCAGAGATGGTTCAACAAATCCACCATATAGATGGTTCAACAAATCTAACATATAAACAAAATTTGGGGGGGAAAAAAGCACATGTTCATCTCATTAGATGCTGAAAAGTCTTTGACAAAATTCAACACCCCTTCATGATAAAGGGTCAGCGATACAAAAGACATACTTAAATATAATAAAGAGTAATATACAGCAAGCCAACAGCCAATATCAAATTAAATGGAGAGAACTCAAAGAAATGCCAGTAAAATCAGGAACAAGACAAGCATGTCCACTCTCTATTCAATATTGTATTTGAATTCTTAGCTAGGTCAAAAGCCAACTGAATGAAGTCAAGAGAATACAAATTGGGAAGGAAAAAGACGACAAAAAATAAAAAAATTTTAAAAACTTAAAAC